GCTGAACTGTATGAAAAATATTGCAATATTTCAAAATGTGACAGAGCTAATGCCTGCAGGGGGCAGAGATAGTTAAATAATACCAACATGAACTAGATTAAACTAAAGAGGCATGAATGTCCTGCCCGAAGCCAAAGAGGGCAGAGAGCCAGTCTGATGGCAACGGTGAGCGACCTCTGGATGATACACCTCTGTTTGTTTTGGCCTGACAGGAGTCTGTGTGTGAGGATGAACACACTCAAAACACCACAAGCCATCTGAAAAAGAGAAAGACTGGGCTTCTCTCTGAGTTTGTGCAGTTTGCCTCTAAAAATCTGTCAATGACTGACCAGGAAAAGGGATTTTTTTCAACACTAACAAGATGGTTCTGGTTATGTTGACAGATAACGGCTATCAGAGTTTTGACGTGTCAACATGAAGAGGGTAAATGTGGGCTGGGGACTGCTTGGATCTTAAATAGATTCTAAAACATTAAAATGAACACAAGCTAATTTATTAAGTTGTTGACTTGTACCTTCTCTGTGTTCTACATGAGGTCGACACAGTGAAACAGGGACAACCAGGGTCTTGAGGTGACACATCTGACCTCTATGTGCACAAGTTATCACGCACATGGAGGTCAGACCGTCAAGAAAAACAATGCAAACAACAAGGACAGGTAATATTTCCGCCAACTACTCTGTGTGACTGAGTATTAATGAATGTAACTTCCTTTTGTTCTGTATTTGACTACATCACTGTTCTGATTCTGATTCATTATTCAGTGTGCTGATTTGTTCTGATTTGTAGAGCAAATACATAGTTGTCTTACCGAGCTTCTCCTATTTAGCTGTACTTTTAAGGAAGACCTGAATTAAAATAAAACTAGCAGGGCACTCAGAGTGCAGAGACCCCTGCCAAGGCCAATATCAAACAACATGATATTTTCAGAAAAACAAAATTCATAGTAAGTGATGTGGATCTGCATTTAATGGGTTCTTCCATGGCCCATGCCCCATCCCTCCATCATGTTCGGTGCAAATCATTTCAGTACTTTTTGCGCAATCCTGCAGACAAATAGACAGACTCAGGTGAAAACATAACCTTCTTCGGTGGAGGTAATTAGAGTTTATATAAATTTGTGAGAAACCACTAGTTTTCCAAGCAAATAAGCTCCTGCCTACAGAATATCCATCAGTATCTTTCAGCTGTGTTCTGTTTGAACTATTTTCATCAAATTGTGGCTCTGAAACCCAATTTTGATCCACATCAAGTGTTTTCCAATTTTCTGTCTTCTTCTTGGATATAGTTTTACAAAAGAAGTATTCTGAATGCACTCCTTACAAGAAATGTATTTAATAACTAGACCACATTTTGATCCCATTGTGAGCACTGTCAGGTTAAAACAGCTGAAACATCATCTATTTGAACAAATTTGTGGTTTGGATTTTCTGTGCAGGTGTTACTGTTCATGTTGGTTTCCAGTAACGTTACACCTACAAGAGATGTACTGTACGTATAATGTATGGGTACCTGCCCATACCGTTTAATAAACAAGGATACAATAATGGTGAGGAGCGATCTCCTGCCTGATCTCCTCTGTGTTTCATAACTGATTCAGAGGAAGATGTACTTGCACTCAAATAAATTATAATAAAAGAACAACCAGACAGATTTCCAGTTAGATCTATATTAACAAGCTTGAAACTCAAGACAGTGTGCTGTGTGACCACTCGACATTATTCAGTGATAAATTAATTTACATAATCCTACAGGAAAGGGGGGGGATTATATTCTATACATAACATATATTCTGAAATGAAGGTTATTGCTGCCACTCTACAGGTCTTCTCTATATGAGTTCAGTGGGTCAAGGGTAAAGAGGTGCATTTATGAAACTGGGGAAAAGCTCTAGATAAAGTTAAAAGTTCAAATTGGGGTTAGGGTTAGGGTTAGGGTTAGTTGGGGTGGGGGGTTTCCAGTTTGTTTCAAATCTTCACCTAATAGCTGAACAACTAGAGTGAGCTCAGTAAATGTCCATCCAACAAGTGAGTCAGAGGGCATTACAGTTGCCTTGCTTTGAACTCATCATTTATCCTGAAACTTTTTAAGACGTAATGCGTGCAGTGCAATTAGACTAAGTGACAAAAATAAAGTACATTTATCACATTCATCATTACTGTAACTTCACAGAGAGTCTGACATTACACATTATATAGAAAAGAAAAACATAATGTGGCTGAGCCAATCAACAAATGCAGCCACATGAGTGTCTCCTCCTTATGTCTGATTGGCTAAATGAAATGTGTGTCATATTGACCGTCATTGCGTTTCATCTTAAAAGCCGGGGTCAGGGTTTTGGGGTCACTTTGGGGTTTGAGAGTCAGTCAGACTCAAACTCGACAGAACAGGATGAGATAAATGAACCCTGGCACCCTCAGGGGCTGTTAACACCTGTTTGTCTTTCCCCAGGTTCAAGGACACACAGTTTACTTCGGCAGCTCGTCTTTGCTTGTCTGGTTACCAGCCAGTTTCATCTGGATGGCAGTCAGAGCAGGCAGAATAAGTTGGATCTTGCCAGTCATGAACTTTTATTGCATGGCTGACAGACTGTGGAGTGATCAGTGTGCACAGCTTGTTATATAAGGAATTGCATATCAATAACAAGTAGATAATGCACACACTCAACAGAATTGGGACATTTCTATCTATTATCAGTGTTGTTCTGCTGTGTTTTTACAAGCTTTTACAGCCTTAGCTTGCTCTGTGTTCAGGGTAATTTCTTACTGTGTTCATTTTTCTGGCTTCTGAATCTGATTTCTTTTGCTTTTTATTATCCGGCGGAATCTTGGTTTTATAGAAATATCACACAAAGCTTTTAGAGTTAACCTAAAACAAAGAAAATCTATCTCTGCCATCAAACAGCTGTGCACAGCTTGAAACAGATCCCAGAGCAGATCTCTCTTCTCAAATGACCTCAGACAGTAATTACTATGGTACTCCCTGTCCTTCTTTTACTACTGCCCTCTTTGCTCTCTGATTGGCTTCACTCGCACAGTAAGAATTTGACAAGTCGACCAATGCCTGTGGGCGAGAACACCACACAGGAGGTGGGGTGCAAATCTTCATCTGTGATTGGCTGTTGGTCCCACACACTCCCCACCAGAGGAGCACTGGTCTGAGACGATGCTGTTCTGTATTTGTGTGTATGTTTGCGTAGTGTATGTACGCATGCATGTCAGTGCGTGATGAAAGAAATCAGCTATAAAACAGCCTGACCAACCCATGACCTCACTCGAACCTCACAAAGCCTCACTTTATCAAAGAATTTGAAAAAACAAATTCAATAGCAATCCATTACGTTTTACAGCAGATGACCTGGCTTAAAACAAAAACAAGCATCCAGGCAGACTCCATCACACACATCAACACACACACACACAACACACACACACACACACACACACACACACACACACACACACACACACACACACACACACACAGCCCAGCATATGGCTAAGCAGAACAGCCAGAGGGAGTGCAGCAGCTGGGCTCATGGACTGTCATCCTATCCCATCTCTATTCCAGCCCATTTTGGACCCTCAGCACATTCCTCTGTGAAGCTGCCACCAATGAGTGAAATATTACCACAATACCATTCTAGCAATTCACTTTCATCACACACATCATACAGGAGCAAGACAATGTGTTCGCTTTGCTTCACTCATCTGCCAATGGCACTTTAACACACACTCAACACACCTTGAACCCCCTTTACTACAATACATGCAGATGGACTCTGTTTTTATCAATGTTTCCTCCTATAAAGCTGCTATCTCCACTGGTGGTGGCTGTAAAAATGGTCATAAAATAGAGACAGGATATTTTTGAAGATGGACTCTTATAAACTGTCTTCTTAGATTATGGATGGAGTGCATTGCTGTTTTTGGAAAGACTGAAATAAAAGGATTTCTTATGTCAACTCATCCTTATGTGTGTAAACAGGGTTGGACAAACCATTATAACCAACTTTAAATGTAATACAACATAATTATCATCATCAACATAATCTTAAAAATGACCATAGTGTTCACTCGCCTTCTCCTTGACAGTCTCAAGCAAAACAGAACATTAAAAGCATCACGAAAATAAGATTTATTTTAGGGCTTTCATATTGAATTGCATTATTAAACTCGCATCACATACAGTTCAGTCAGCTGGAGCCGAAACGATTATGGTTGAGACAAATTGATTGACAGGAAATTATTCAGCAGGAGGAAGTAACATTGATCTTTGTCATATATGATAGTCTGAATATCTTTGGGTTTTAGCCTGATGAGGTCAAGCAATCTGAATAAGTAACCTTGGGCTCTGTAAAATTATAATGATTATAATGATTTGATACACAAAATAATTAATCAATTAATTGAGACAGTAATTGTGAGTTTAACTGATAATGAAAATAGTTGTTTGTTGCAAGCCCAAAGTGTGTCTGGTCTGTAATGTCACTAACCTGCAGCAGGGGTCAGTCTTGCTATGAGCCTTGACAGCTGGAGTGTGATCTCAGGGCCTCTGCAGCTACTTAGGGACCGTCTGGAAGTGACAAAGAAAAGCCAAATCTTACAAAGGTATATTTATTATTATCTCCACTAATATGTGTATATTTGAGCAATTAAAAGAAGAAATGAAGAGTGTGTAAATGAACGTTATTCAAAAAAATCAGGAGACAGAAGGATCGTGTATATTGGTATCATTCTCAAATACTGAATTCCAGTTGCCATTTACCATATTTACAGTTATTAACAGCTTGAACATAATTAAGACATTAATATTGAAAAAAATGTTGTCACATTGCTCTTTGATGAGAGCTCCACTCTGCACCATGCTGAACCTGGTACTGAGGATCCAGCTCAACGTGAGCCTTGTTTCACAGCAGTGTTTAAGAAAATTCCTATCATGTTACGTTCACATAAGCAAGGCTTTCACTGTGATTGGACTGATCTGAGTTTAGAGGGCTTAAGGGGCTGGTTGAAAACATCAGATTTCTCCACATTAGCAGCGAGGCACAGTCTGGTAAGTATCGCCTTTTTACATATTTTGTTGACATATTGTACATCAAATGTTAAGCCATTTAAAAACTTAGCTACTTCATCTTATTGGTGTTTTTCCTTTGTTAATATGTGGAATTTAAGCATGTTGTTGATCAAATCAAATTCTGAATGAGTGTCAAGTGGTCACATGGAAGAGTGTGTTCTTGCTCTCTGAACAATAACAAGAAGCTTCTGGAAAAGGTTTGTGTTTGAGGTTCTTAAGAAACCTGAGACGAATATGCTGATCATCGGGGACAATAATGAGATAAAGAAATTAACAAAGCATGTATGAGTGCAACTGTTTCTCATGGACAAAGCCAAATAAAGATGCCAACGTGATCTGACTGTTGAGGTCAAACCGTCTTAATCTTGTTAAAAATTCCTGAACCAGAAGCATATTTAAAAAGTTAATCTTTTTACATCTTTTCTCTGTAGGTGGCCTGTGGAGTGAGTCCGGGGCCATGGTGACTGTGATCACAGTCCTGAAGTTTTTGAGCGTGTTTGTTGCAGAGCTCATCAGCTCCCTCACAGACTGGTTCCAGACCCAACCAGCATGGGCCAAACTAGAAGTGCTGGAGGAAACAGAACTGAAGGCCACTGGAGGCGGTGAGTCAGACAACAGAAGCAAGCAGAAGCTATTCACTCGCAGAAACTGTGCATCTTTGCACTGCAAAGTTCCCCATTTTTTTTAAAGTATGATATTCCTTCTTTGTTCTACTATCTGTCCTCTGAATTTCTTAGAATCAAGTTGAATTAACAAATTACATTAATGAAGACTTTAGATGAAGGTGAATCCTGATTAAAGGCTGATCAAACTCCAGGATTTGGTGCCTGAGATTATTTATGACAGCACACAAATCAATCCACTAAATGTGGACGTCTTTATCTGTCTCTTTTAGTCCATGAACGACACAAGGCCAGAACTCTGTGGGAGAAAACTGGAGCTGTGGTCATGGTTGTACGGCGACCTGGATGATTATTATGCAGAGAGGTATGAAATCACATGTCTGTATGTGTTTTAGTAATGAGACTGACTACTGAACTGTCATTCATGCTATTTGGTTCTCTCTGTAGGAGGCTGCTGAGCTGTCCTCTCTGAAGTCCCAGCTGCAGGACCTTGAAGTCCCTCTTTTTGCTGTGGTGAAAGAAAACCTTGGCAAGGAGCTGGACTGCTTCAAGAAGTTCTTCTCTGGGAAGGTCTACGTGGATCAGCAGGTCTGTTTTTGCAAAATCTTCCCCTACACATGCCTTTAAGATATTAAGTGAAAAATGGAGGGTTGCATAATTTAAGCCAATAAGCTGCTTTTATATTATTCTCACAGAGAAATTTCTACGGCCCGCAAGAGCGATGGATGTTTCTCTCCATGCTTCTGCGTATTGGTGTGTGGAGGAACCTCTGGCGGTCTTATCGGAGGGGCTTCAGGGGAAATCTAAGAGGTGAAGGGCTTGTCCTGGGTGGAGTCTTCGTCATTGGGCCTGGAGATCAGGTTGGCAGAATAAATATTTTCAAACAAGTGTATCTGGAGGTTTTCATGGGTTATGATTGTGTTATCCCCCCCCCCCCCAGGGTATTCTACTGGAGCACCGAGAGAAGGAGTTTGGGGATAAAGTGAATATGCTGGCAGTACTCAGAACAGCTCGCAAAATGCAAGAGGACATGGCAAGATAGATCTTAACATGTGAATGAATGGACTGTTTGTTAGTGTGGCATTTTCTGATAGTGTTTCTATATGCATGTCTTTGAGTCTAAGCCTGGATTTTTTTTTTCTGCAGCACTATATAGGCCTAGGCCCCTAACATGTTATACTCTGCTCATATTGCAACTGCATAAAGCATTGAGTCTTTTTTGGCTGCTGATAATTGCCTGGTGTGTTATGCAATACCACAACTCTGAAACTAAACTGTTTAATGACCCACAGTCTGCATGTCTGGTCCTAGGTTGTGTGGTGTTTTTTTTGTATGTTTTAATGAAGATCTGTTTCTAAACTCTACTGACAGAACAGCTCTGACACCAGCATACACAAATCCAACACTTTTAACAAGACAGATTTGGCCTCGACATGATGGAGAATAAACAGCTGAAGTGATCAAGAACTTTTTGTGTTTGACGTCTCACAATAAAACAATACACCAGACGTGCTCACAGAAAGTTATTTACCTGTGTATGTGTCTTGTTTGTCTTGTTTCGCTCCTCACCATGTTCTTTCAAATTATCTTACCCGGCCATCTTAGCTCGATTAGTTTCCCCTGCTCTCTCTGGATCGTTTAGTACGCCTGCGCAGATACCTGTTTATAAAACGCCTAAGCTGAGCGAAGCAACCGTACGTCTCATTGATACTGGTGAGTGTGACTTTATTAAAAACTACTACAGTAACTTTATATCACAGTGACAACTTCTAAACGGGTGCACTTTCTTCAGCGAGCCGTGCTAGCTCCAGGCCCAGACTTAACCATTAGCTGAGCTAACCGGTGGCCGTTTGCCATTGCCGTAGCTTTAACTTGGTAGGACCCTGAAAGCATGTAATTATCAGCACCCAAAGGCCTAACACTCCCCACTCCTATTCGGTTACAGTTTTAAGTGAAGCCTGTAGAGCTGAGCCAGCAATTAATGTCATTGACTACACATTGAAAGTATCAAGGTCATCATGTTGTCTGACCTCCTGCGGGCAGGAACTGGTTCATCTGTTTTTGCCACCTCCCCTCTACATATAGGTCATCAGTGGAAGAGGTGTTCAGAGCCTTTACTGGCAGTAGAAGTTACAATATATGTCTTGCATTTAAAATTGGTTCTGTTTAGTTTTATTGTTGTTTTTTTATTTTTTATTTTTTATAGCTGCTAGATTAATAATAAAACGTTAGGTATGTTTGACATGATTTTTCACCAACCAACTTACAAATTGGGGTATTAACAGTTGGTGAACTATGTTTACTTAATAAATAGACAAGTATCATAAACTAATTTATGAGAAGTAAAAATAAAGTTCATTAATAAAATTATTATATATGTGCAAAAGTTTCAGGCACTAAAAGTAAAGGGATGATGCTACATCATAACATAATAATAGTAATAATAATTTATAAGGATTAATAGTATTTATGAATTCACTTCATACAAAGTGCAGTAAACAGAAAAAAAACATAAAATTGTTTGGTGTGATCACCCTGTGCCTTTAAAACAGCAACAGTTTTCTGTGCGTTCAGTTGCCACAATGTCTTCTGTCTCTTGACGTAATCCCAGACAATCCATGATGCTGAGATCAGGGCTCTGTGGGTCCATACCATCTGTTGCAGGACTCATTGTTCTTCCTGTAGCTGAAGATAATACTTTATGACTCAGGTGTATGTTTGGATTCGTTTTCATGCGGCAGAATGAATTCGGGTCAATCAGATGCCTCCCTGATGGTATTGCATGAAGAACATCTAAACATTAACATGTAATCAGCTTTTTAATGCATCAGCCTGTCAAAGTGGAGTTATTTATAACTACTTGATATAGTTGGGTAGTTTCATCTATGACAAATCATCAGAATTTATGAGCAGATCGTACATTTTGTATTAAACATCCTAATCTTCATAGTGGTACTAATTACTAATACTATAGCTATCAAACAAATCTAGTTGAGTAAAAAACAACAAGAGGAAAGATGCATCAAATGGAAATGCTAGAGTAAAATACCCTAAAACTGCTTAAAAGTCAGCTGTGGAATAAATGATCTGATACTTTATTTGAATAAAAGTACCAATACCAGAGTGTAAAAATACCCATTTACAATGTAAAATTCTGCACTCAAAATATTTCACTGTGTCAGAAGCTGAGCACATGTTCTGTATGACAATTCGTCAAAGTTACTGTGGCTCTCGGATAAATGTAGTGGAGAAAAAATATTTAATATTTAATATGATATAATCCCCGAGAGTGTGGATAGGTATAAATTAGCATTGAATTTAAATATGTAAGTACCTTTAAAACTGTTCTTTACTGTGTGATCATTCCTCCTGGCATTGTTCAGACACCTCATTGATATAATAAATAAATAAAAATAAATCAGATAAAATCATTTATCAGATGTGATGTCAAGTGTTGTGCAACAATATCATGTTAGGCGTTGCCAGTGCTGATGGCTCTCAACTTTCAATGCTTGCTCTGCAGATGCATCTAGACACTTCCTTGTGTCGCAGGGGTGGTGTCTCGCCGTTGGCTGTTGTTTTTAGTGTTTTTTTTAAAGCCCTTTTTCCTCCCAGTGTTAAACTGTCAAACCTCAGATGCATTTGGGTGGCTTTTGAGCTAGGTCTCGGGAGGAAAAAGTACTTCTTCACACTTTGGAAACAGAGACAAGTTAGTATATTACATTACATTACAGTAATTTACAGTGCATGAATTTCTTGATATGACACATTGTAAACTGACTTATACATTTTTGTTTTAAGTGTATTTTGTGTGTTGATGTGTAAACCACACACATCACAGCTTTGGTTTTAAGAATAGAAAGTCTGTTTTCAAGTCGAGAATTGTCATGCCCCGGGGAGATAAGATCTGCACATATTATTCTTTCCGGTTTTATCATGCTGCAGGGTGGGTAATGAATTGATATACTATAAGCATAAATAAACTCTGCTGACTGGTTTAATGGTAGGTATGATTTTTTATTAGTTGGGTAGTCTTCACATTAAAAGCAAGATGCCAAGAAATGTTTTGCTTTTTAATCTGTAAAATCAAATCTAAGCTCCTTGAAAGTTTGGCTTGTGCAATCAAGGTGGCATGTACTGATTTTTTAACAGTCTCCTGCGCAGCACAAGTGAGTTAACCTTCATAGAAAAGACTTGTGTTTCTTTCTTTCAGTGAAATCTTGAGGGTGTGTGTAGTCAGACTTTTGCCATGGTCCCGATGCTGGCTCTGTCCAGATGTTCTCCAGCTTTGAGGTGGACTCTTTCCCTGCGCTGCTCTGCCCTCTCTCTGGGGAGCGCTACCCTGAGCAGCCAGTCCTCCACCACAGCCAGGCCCCAGTTTCTAAGAACCCAGACTGCTCTGTTTCACGAAAGTAAAGCCAAAGCCAGTCCTGACCCAAACAAGCCGGCTTCAGGCAAGGACATATTATGACTGTTTACACAGTTCGCTGTTCTGTGTCACAGCCCAAACTTCAAGCTTGTTGTAGAAACAGAGTTACAGTCGTGTTTCCCTGCTTTCCATCCCCTTTGTGCTGGAACGACTCCAGACCTTCATGGCACTGAAAAGTGTTATGAAAGTAGACAAAATAGATATGTCATTTAATGATTGTATCTTTGAACCATTGTGAAATGTTTTAATAACAGCAATGAATAAAGTTTGTAATTTTAAGATTAACTTCAGGCTGACCGAACTTCACTTCTTCTAAATTTTGAATATTTGCAGTAAAACTGAATATCTTTGGATTCTGGAGTAAATGTTGGACAAAAAACACATTTGAAATCGTAAACTTTCATTCACTTCTGACAAATTGCAGACTGAACAGTTGATCAAGGAAATGACTGGCAGATAATTGATGAAGAAAAAACTTTTCTGCACAAGAAAAAAAAAAAAGAACTGACTCACTGAGAATCACAACAACCACAGTCAAAATAGTGTGACAGCTATTTACTCTCACAAGTTAAGTTTAGATTAGAGAAGGCTATGCTGCTAAAAAAGCACCACACTGATAGACTTATATGGAACTTTGTTAAAACACTTAGACAAAATCTGCTAGTTGGGTCTTGTTGCTCTCATGGCCTCAGGGAAAGGTCTCTGTGTAAGATATGAGCGGAAAACTGCTTTGCAGTGAAACACGCAAATATCAATTAGTCTGCAGATCTAGCCGACCAGCTGCCATAGGCAATGTGAACGAAAACTGTCAAAGTAAAGTTTATTTTGCATTAGGATTTTCTCAGACTTGTGACACATTTCTCTCTGCTCATGTTATTGCTTTTATGCTGCAGTGTTGGCCTCTGGGTCCGGGCTGGAGGGGGAGCTGTTTGGGATTGGGATGTGGTCACTGGGTCTTGGTGCTGTTGGAGCTGCCCTAGCTGGGATCTTCCTGGCCAACACTGATATGTGTCTACCTAAACCTGCCATGGCATCGCTGGAGTACCTGGAAGATGCTGACCTGCGCTCCACCATTGATGGTAGGCAGGCTTTCTGAATAAGTCTGTTCTTAACCAGCAGTTGTTAAACTCATTAGGATGAGAATTAACATTACATCAGCACAAGAATTGGCCATTAGCAGTTTTCTTTATGGTCGCATGTTGGCATGCATTGTACATGCAAAGAATGAGGTTTTGTGTAGCATTTAAGGCAAAGCTGCTTTCTCCAATCTGCTTGTATTACAGATTAGATCATAGCTGAAGGTCGAGTTACTGTGATAAGCTTATTCAACATATAGATGTTCCACATGACCATGAGCATTTAACTTATTCTCCATTTGAAGGCCGTATCTTTTATCTTCTACAATCTGGCTTTTAATCTTGCAGCAGTAAAACTCATGAAGTCCTTGTGAGTCAGACTGGAGAAACAGTTTCTTCTTGTTTTGTCTGCAGATGATAACGTTGTCAGAGCAAAGAGCCTGTGGGAGAGGAACGGGGCTGTGGTCATGGCCGTACGACGACCTGGATGATTTTTGTGCAGAGAGGTGATAAAAAAAAAAAATGTTGCTGAATATGAGAGCAGAGGCCGTTTTACTCAGCTCTGAGTGTGTGTGAGTTACATGTTCCCTGATGGTATGATGTGTCTCTCTCTGTAGGAGGCCTCTGAGCTGTCCTCTCTGAAGCCTCAGCTGGAAGAGCTCGGGGTCCCTCTGATCGCTGTGGTGAAGGAGAACGTCGGCACAGAGATCCAGGACTTCAGACCGCACTTCGCTGGGGACATCTACATAGATGAAAAGGTTAGCAGTGGTAGATAGCATCAGATCTTCAAGAGCTGTTATAAGTACTCGCCCTCAAATCAGTCGGTCTAAACCACCCTGCAGTTAAAACAGTCTCACCCTTTTTCTCTTTTTTTTGTCTTTTGTATCTTTTAAAGAGCGACAGCAACCCAGCTGTCCACTTACAAAACTGATTCACCTGCCGAATATATATATTTTTTTAATAATCCTTCGGTCTATAAATGACAAAATATGGAAAAATGCCCTTTCCCAAAGCCTGAGTTGACACAGTCAAATTGCTTGTTTTGTCCGTCCAACACACTAAAATCAAGTCCACAATTTTCATTCAATCATTTTCTTAATCTTCTCTGATAGAAGTACTACTTTCCTGACAGAAAATCATAACCATACAAGAACATTCATCTAATTTTTTACTGCATGTCACATTTTTTTGGTTCTGTTGACTAAAATTATACTGTGTGATTGCAGAAACATTTCTACGGCCCATTGCAGAGGAGGATGGGGGGTTTAGGTTTCATTCGACTTGGAGTGTGGCAGAATTTCATGCGGGCCTGGAGGTCTGGTTACCAGGGCAACATGAACGGCGAGGGCTTCATCCTCGGGGGAGTGTTTGTCATCGGGCCAGGAGACCAGGTAGCGTAGACTCACTCACCTTAACTAAAATAAGATTCGGCTCAATAGAGCTTTACCAAACAGGTGTCTGTATTTGAACTGCACGTTGTGTTTTGCAGGGGATTCTCCTGGAACACCGTGAGAAAGAGTTTGGCGACAAGGTGGACACTGCAGATGTTTTAGAGGCCGTCAAGAAAATTGCTCCAGTGAAATAGGTTCTTTAGGTGTTAGAAAAAGAGCAGGTACACTCTATATAAATCATTGCTAGAATTAAGAAATAATTAACATTTCTAACTTGGCATGCTGAGTTGTAATCAAAATATGTCCATCACTGAAATACTGACATTATAATGACATTTCCGTCTGTTTGTGTTGTGCAATATCACAGTTTTGTCTTTTGCACGTTAATTTACTGTAGGTTACAAAAATGGAGCTGTGAAATGCAGGACAGAGACAATAATATTACAGCATTTGTCTCTGAGTATTCCTCTTTACCTCTGCATACACCCTAGAGATTAGTTTCTTTTGAAACGGGTATTAAAAACGGGTAATAAGGGACTTAAAGGCAGCATTTTCATTCAGGTACATCGATCATTAAATTTAAGGTCATTTGAAATCTTCCCTCTAGACAAAAATCAATCTAAAGGCTGGATTTCATATGATTAATAATTCTATTAACATCTGTTAGTTGGTACATTTTTAATAACGTTCTTGTGTGTCATCTTTGTTTACATCTCCTGGTCAGGCGCATGAATGAGCCTCTAACATGGTAGACAAGTGTGTCTGTGGTCTGTGTGTGTGATAATGACAACCTGGCTCTAAACTCAACAGTGAGAGGAGCAGGTTTGATGCTCAAACACACAACAGGTTCAGCTACTGTCACCATGCTGGGGAGTGTTTGTGGTGTCTGAAGCAGGTGTTGCTTTGGTGTGTGTGTGTGTGTTTGAAAGAGAGAGAGATGGTTCGTACCTGTACATGTGAATGCTAGCTGCAGAAAATAAAAATAATAAATAAGGAAGAACCTCATCACCGCATCTTCATCGTGCTCCTGGTTTTATTTTTATTTAATGTGAATCTTGGCCTTAATACCAATTTACAGATGTTTGAGGTAGATTCTCAGAAACAGCAAAATAACCAACTCTTGTGGATATTTTTGTATTTCTTGTAACCAGACCATATAAATGTGTTATATGTCCCATATGACACATATTTCAGAACTAGTATGTAGGTTCTCAGCCTCTGCATCCTCCAATAATGGAACATACAGCCTGTTGGGTATTCTCCCTTATGTATTTCCAGATTTATATCAGTAGACAGTAGATGCTGTTTCTTTTGTTTCAGATGATAGAGATTTACACTTCAAATGATTTTAGATCAACAGAACTAAATATTATTCTGATTATAATAAGTAAAACCTCAGACTTGTATTTCTACTGTGCACGGGGCCGTCTGTGTCGAGTGCATGTGTGATTTTTGTATATATGTCAAATCTATTAATGTAAGGTGCCACAGTGCCTTATATTAATTTCAAATATATACCCACTCCCTCTTTTTTGTTTATAGTCCTATGGTTTATTCATCAAATCACTAAAACAACTAAAATTAACAAAATTACAATTGTCTTCTGAACACACATTTAGTGAATAAATCTGATTATTCAAACTGGATTTATTATATCAGAACAGAAATGGTGTAGCCACATACTAAGGCTGGAAAATGAAGGAAAGTTTCTCATGTTCTGTGGAGAGCTAGAGATGGGTCCAAACATGTCAGTAAAAAATTTGCGATTTAGCATGTTTAAATCTAATCCTGTGAATTATTTTATCTCCACACATCTGAAACAACTACAACCCGTAGATTTAGCTGTATAATGCGGTTCTGTTTGTGTTAGGGTGCTGGGTTTAGCACAGCGTGCGTGGCCAAAACATACCATGTAACCATTCAGATGACATTCTCAGATTAATCTTTGATTTATCTGATTGTTCTGTGTCTCTGTGGAAGTTGAACAAACCTCTCATGACTTCTACTTTACTATCTACTTTTTAGTAAGTTCTTTTCCTTGAGAGCAGGAGGGCGATGACATTTAAAAAAAAAAAAAAAAAAAAAAAAAACGTAAACACTGTTTCATAGTCTCATATTAAGCAGACAGGTTTAGACATTAATGTTACACATTTTATTCTATTGTTCTGAGTAAAATACATTTCACATCAAGGAAATATATTTCAACACAATACAAAATAGAGGGAGAAAACACTGTGCACCAATATTGACAAGACTACATGTGTGTATGTAAGTTTGTATGTACATGAAACAACCAAAAACATTCATGAGTGTAACAGAGATTGTCTTTACATTTGTGCTTTCAGTATGCAAAGATTAGATTTTTTTTGTCATGGCATGCACAACTTAAGTTTAAATTAGTGGGTGCTCAACCAATGTGCCAAAATTCATTGCTACTATCTGGAATAAAGTCAAGTTTATGATGAGATTTTATTGTAATATCAATAAAATCAATGCTAAAAGTCTGACTGTTAACTAAAATACCAGTTGGGATTTATTTATGTCTTTAATTTGTTAACTTTGTGTTAAAGACAGTGCTTTGTGATGTTGAAAATTTTGGTGTTTCACTGACAAGGTTGAGGACCACTGCTGTAAAAAAAATCTGAAACGTGTATTTGCATGAGAAAAGCCTGGCAAAAAAGGTCCATACAATAAAGCTGAAACGAAAACTTTAAAAAGCTACACACTTCTTCCCCCTCAATCCTGTACAATTCATACCCGTCTCATCTTTGGCTAGATCTATGGGTGTGACATGTTACGGTGGTTCAGCACAGTCACAAGCTGAGATATATGTTTACAGATGTGTTTAAATGCTCACTAAAACCGTCCAGTTTTGTTCTTGACATTTCTGCGCCTTAATACAAAAAAAAAAACAAAAAAAGAAAAACAAAGCAAGCGGAGCAATGAAAGCTGCCAGATAATGAATGAATTATGAATTTGCAATATCATGATTCTTTCAACGTTATCCAGCACAATAAACAAATACAATCTTCAATATACATTTTCAAAAAGCTCATTTTAAATAGCAATACACATCCATCTAGCTCCTACAGCAGCACAGCAAAGGTTATATAGTGCAGTTTTACCCTCAGCAGGAAAACACCCCAAACACAACAACTACCATCAGCACTGTAGCAGAAAAAAAGATGTATTAATGATGTAGTCACGGTATTTAACAAATACTGGAATACAGTAGTCATGCTAACTCTGAAACACTGTCCTGCAGTGCATGTGGTCATGTCTCAGTGTTACAGGTGGAGGAACAGACAGTAGCTACCGTCTGTTTACATGGATGATACAGAGAGTTTGATTGTTGCTCCGGGGGTTCAGTGTTTACATGAAAATAGAAAAAGACAATGGTGAGTAGAAGAGCAGCTGAAAGAATAGTTTCATACCAAAATGAGATATCCATCATTTAAAAATAAAAAAAGACATTCTCATACAGATGTTAGGAGTCATATCAAGACACTCTTTAAGAGTCTGAATTTCAGGTGGGAACAATTTTCAAAAACGATCTGGATAGCATTTTGGAATGAAACCATTGAATTTCAGGATCACACATGAGCACAATCATTGTGTATTTCTGTCTGCATAGAAGTTCTTTCATAAAGATGCAGCAGTGGTGCAGTTGCTACAGTCCTGTAACATTCAGTCAGTTTAAATGAATGATTGTATGATGCTTAATGGAGATGAATCTAAGTATGAGCATGGTCTGTACAATCTTACTGTATTTTTTTGTACATGAAAAATCACAAACATTGAATCACAGTTATTAATCTGTGACTGTGTTCTGTGTATCAAGTCAAGTCCGAACTAGAGGAACCACTCATCTAATCTGAAAGCTCATTAGCCCTAAAGCAAGAGGAGTTCTCATCCATTAACACTCCTCTGTACTCCTGTAACACAACCAGCTAAGCAGCTGACATTGTTTTCTGGTACGTGGGGCCATCTGCTGGATTCACCAACAGAGGCACACCTTCAAGTTAAAATCTCTAAAATCCTTCATGCATATGTGCTCCATACATTATATATCATATATATATATTTATATATACACACACACAATATTTATAAATATATCCAAGAAAAATATACTTATTCTTACATCAGACAGCACAGGTGTAAATTCAGCTGATTCTTTCTCAAGTACACCATCACCACTATCTAACCACAATGGTTGTGTGTTTGGAGAGCTTGGTCAACAATGTGAATGAATTTGATCAGAGAAGCTCAAACCCAGCCCAGCTATCCACTTTAACGAAGCACAACAAAGACCGTCCACACAATTACCCACTGCCCTGACCTGGATATAAGCATTTAGTATTCTGACTCTCACACAACAATAGCTACTTTCATTTGGTACAATGGGGCATCAATGGCTCGAGTGCAAGACAGTTTTGCAGATGGCTAGCTATTTGTTGCACATAAAAACCCTGTATCTCTAACTTAATTAGACAGCTCAGCTTGACAACCACTTGACAAAACCACAGTTTTGAATTCTTTCAACCTGCTCGTGCAACCTTTTTGGTCAAGTGTGAACATTCAAACCAACAAAACTCAAGTTACAAAGTTTCTGCATGACAACTGTGGTCTGATCATAACATTTCCTCTTAGCAACAACACGTAGACACAAAATGGGACATTCCTCTCCACGTGACAAAAACACCAAACCACCAAACAAGCACCATCACCGACAACAATCAAAGAACTAATCAATGCTACTAGAGGTAGCGGCTGCAGTAGGTCATTAAGTGAGCTCAGATGATAAAAAGGCCTTGAAACACAGGCTGCCACTGCCATGGCAACAATGGATATTTATGATTAGAAAAGATCACACTCATTAGTTAACTAATGTACTCTGTGGCTGTGCTGTGTGAGCTTTTGTAGTATAATTCCAATATATTGTTTTGCCACATGTACCTAGCACCTCATTATCTGGTCTAAGACTATGAAGGGGTGTAAGTACACTTAAAGGAGAGTTGAAGGGAGTAAGAAGCTGCACCAGTTAACAAGGAGGCAGAGTACAACAAAAGAAGAACTTCTTCACCAGGGGTTGGACTATTTAGAGCCATTAACTGGTTTTTTCAAGGTAAACTGAAACATTTTAACATACTCTGGTCAGTCTGTAATAGTTAATTAACAGAATAATGTGACAATGACTTGGGTAGAATTGGAAATGCAAAAAAGATTATTTTACATTCTGAGGCAATGCACGACTTACAAGAAATTACACATTATTAATCGGAGAACTTGAATGAACCTGAATGCAACATGAAATATTAGTGAGTCAAACACAAGTCAGTAACTTCATGAACTGCCACCCTATAGGCAGTTTTGACCAAAGGAAGACAGAAAACACACCACGACACAATTTTAAAAAAGAAGAAAAAAAAAAAAATCAGGAGTCATTTTTTCTTTTCTAAGGAGTGCCATCTATGTACACAGAGATCCACCAATGATCTTCCTTCAAGGTGTTTTGTTTTCCCTTCAGTAAATCCTGTTTTCCAAATTATCATTGCCCTCAAATAATCATTGCCCTTGTCAAATTCAAAAAACAAATGTAGCAGTACACACAACAAAAAAAAAAGCATAAATAAATTTTGTTTTGCCCTCCCACTTGTTCCCTCAGGACAAGACATGTGTATGTATACATGAGTGTATGTGTGAGTGTCAAATCTTGTGTGTGTGAATGGAGATAGATTGGCTGGTCCTACAGGCCCTTGTTGAAGTAGACAGTGGTGGTGTGGGGACTGGTCTGTCGTATCCTCTCCTGCAGATCTGCTTCCAGCCCGCTCACGCTCATAGAGCTACAAAGAGATGATTGAACATGATTAATCTGCTGCTACAGTTTAGTTAATGCTTACAGGTATGCCCCCCCCTCCCTCCAATGAGAGTGATGTTAAAGTGGCCTTTGGCACCTTTTCTGTGGAAACAGGGCGCAGCACAGAGGAGTTGCAAACACCAGGCTGCAAACAAGAGGCAGGGAGAGAAGTTTTAGACAGTGTTATCAGTTTATTTTTAAGTACAGATGCTTTAAAAAAAAAAAAAAAAAACATCACCATAGATACTGCTAGTGTAAAGTACTTACCACAGACCGACAAGCCCCACCTGGACTGGAGCGTTTAGAATTGGGAACCGCTACAAGGAGACAAAAATCAGAGAAGGCAGAAGTGGAGTGAAATCTGGCAAACAAATCACCAGTATGACAAGTTTGTCCATGAAGATCATCCCTAGACATAAACATGCAATGACTGTCTAATGTGTGGAATGCAGTAGGACTCTTTTCAGCCTCATAAAACACCAGCACACCCAGTAAATGCACTGACTGAACAAACATCAGTATGGCAGCCATGCAAGCAGTCTGCTTACCTTCATGAAAGCTCTCTTCTCCAGAGCATTCATTATAACAGGAGGGATGGCTGTAAAAAATAAAAAACACAGCAGATGAGGTCTTCTGTTGCAGTAATAAAGCGGAAAAGTTGCACATTTAGCTGTGAGAAATTCTTTAATCTCTCATGGCATCAGCTGTTAAAATTCAGGATGAATCTGCTGACGATCACTTTCGATAGTGATCTCGTTTTAACTACGGGTGATTTGGGTGGGATGACAAAAGCTGGATATACACCAGGTTTTATGTTAAGCTGTCACTGAGATGTTCATTGTTTTACGTGGTTGTTTTACATCTGTTTTTGGTTTTTGAGAAAATGATCTGCTTCTTTAGCTGATAAATGCTCCACTATCTTCACCAGCTAGTCGCTAACTGTGTCTGTCTAGTATTGGGTGCTGAGCAGGTAGTGCACAGTGGGATTTTAAAGCTGTTCAACTAAAAAACATTTCCTGCTAGATCAGTGAGAGTGGTGAGTGTGACCCAGAACAGTAAAGCTGTGGGGCAGACAGCTAAACACAGTGAGCTGAGCCTCACTGAAAAGCTCTGTAAAGCCGAGGGGAACTGCAGACTGTTATCATAAAAATATCGATTACAGTCGCTTTAACAAACCAGTAGATATAATCTTGACATTACCCATTGCTGGCACTGCCATGCCGATCCTTGACACCACCACCTGCACGATGGCCTGCTTGGCAGCATTAGCAGACTCTCCTAACCTGTTTCCATTCTCATCTGTCACAGGGATACCATATTTCAACTCCCTGGCGGAAGCAAAAACAAAAGTATGTAGAGCAGTTGTAGCAGGGGTCACAATTCCTTAAAGCTCCTGAGTGAACAAAACAGAGGTCACTGGGCTTTTACTTTAGAGATCTCACCTCTGTCTCATGAAGGGAATGTTGATGCAGTTAGCAGCAGCAACAGCAGCAAAGGGAACAAACCGGCTGACGATTGGAGGGAGACGCTGCAAAGATTAGAGGCACATTTTCACAAAAAGTATAAACTCTCTGTACAAATATGCAAATATATATGCTGTCCAGATCAGTGTGCATGTATGTAAGTTACTTTGTTTCATTTATTTATTCACTTGAACCACAGGCATTACCGTAGCTAGAGACTTGAGTCCCAAGGCAGTGACTACAGCTCCAGTAGTAGCACTGACATAGGCTGCACCGAGCTGACTGCAAAGAAACAAAAGTATCAGACACGTCACACTTTAATAATCCACTTCCTCTTTCAGCATTTTCACACATCATAAATAGCTGACTACTGTCAGTCATGCAAAGACTGCAGCTGACAACAGTTACACCATAGTTATATATTTCAGAAGAGACTTTCTGAGAATTCATGCTATGTATGAATATGCAAAGGTAAATAAACAAGAACATTTCACAAATAACGATAAAGCAGAGGAGGACACTATAACATTTGTCCAGAATAACATGCTAAATCCGTGAATATGCATTTGCATGTCCTGAAGGCAACCCTCCTGAATGCATGCATTTGATGTAGTGTAGTGGCAGAATGAATAGAGTGCATGTTGACCTGACATCAACTGGGAGCACTGAACCTATGAGTGCATGGTGACATGGGGCTGAACATGCTTAACAGTGGAACATAATACCGCTGTGAGGGAAGGGGAGAGGACAGCAGCTCCCACAGCCTCCTTACAGACACTAGTTTAGAGGGAGGACAGGAAAGATCTAGAGTGGAAGTGAAGTGAGAAGTCCTCCCTACTTCACGGTCATGGGGGCATCTCCACTCCGGTTGGTGTAGTTGACGACAGCGTTGAAGGACTGGTTAACCCACTGCCAGAACACCACTGCTGGAGTAGTCCTGCAAGCACAAGAGAACAACAGTGCATTTGAGGAAATGAAATTTCACAGGATGTAAAGTAAACACTACAATTTTGGCAATGTTTACACTGCAGCAAAGAGTTTGGTAACATCATAAAAACTGTCCAACACTGTCTTAGCAGAGCATGGAAACAATTCTGCCAAAAAATACCCTGCACATGCATTCAAACATAGGCATCTACAGACAAGATTTTTGTATGTGTTGTGTTCAGTCCCCTGCAGCTGGTATGTATAAGATAAAGATCAAGATATCTGCTTTTGCAGTGGAGCACTTTCTTTTCTGCTACTGTGAGATAACAATCATCTTGTTGGGTTTCAGTATACAGCAAATGTGATTGAAATGATTGTTTTTAATTTAATTTATAATAAAAAACAAACAGATTAGATGGGCTACCTTGAAAAGACAGGCCTCAAAGTACAAGTACCAGTACCAGTACAGTACCTGTGGTCACTGTATCAAAAGTGATTAGACCTGTGTTCCAGTTAAGGCTAATGCATGAACAAGGTTATAAAATAATAAATAATAATCTTTCCACAGATTTGTAAAAGCCTAGTATCATCCACGCCCAGGAGGCCTGAATATGTCATAAAAAAGAAACCCTTTCATATAAAAGATTATAAAAATAAACGATTGGAATCTTGCTAATGAAGAATCTATTGGCTGTTGTTGCAGTTTTTTTTTTTAAATATGAAATATGAAACATTTGTTTTTCACATTGTCTTCATTCAAAAAAAATCATTGGATTTGGACACATTGGATTTTTACTTTGAAAAGATTTATTGTCTAAATGTTGATTTAGATATAAAACCTCTCTAATGTTGTGTTTTTAATCACTCAATACAGACGAACTGAAAAGTATTTTGTTTATTCTTTCCTTTGACAAATCACTTTAGGTCTAACCTATCTTTGTTTATTGTGTCACCTTCAGCATCTAAAGCCGCTATGTGTGACTGTAGCGCCCTCCAGTGATCGTATGTTACCCCACTAATCACTAGTCTGACCACTAGCCAAAATTCCAAAAGTAATAAAATTATAACAATTGAAAATATGGAGGCCCAAAGTGTTAAATATTAAAGTAAATAAGACATTGTTAAATAAATAAATAAATAATCAAAAACCAAAACAGACCACACTAATCATAAAATCATGAAATTGTGAAATAATAAAAGATATTTTTAAATGTAAAAAAAAATATTATGACATGTAATTTCATCCTGTTTATTTTTTATAACAACAATTAATAATGAATTAATAATATTAATTTTCTTTTCATTCCACCAGCTTTTATTTGACAAGGTCCCTTTTGATTGATGAATTTGATTCCTAAATTCAGCTTTTCATCAAGTCTTTATCTGTCCATTACGACAAACAGGGCAAAGCAGTTCCTTATGTAAATATTTGACACTGAACACTTTTTCAAATCTGTGACCAGCTAATTTTCACTTGATAAATTAAACTGTTACATCAATTCTCAAAATTGGAAAGTTTATTTTTTGTTGATAATCAATTTGTTGTTTCAGCACAGTTCTCATAGCTTCACTGTCCTCTCAGCAGCCCACTGATTTATAAGTATTCAGTGGTGAGAGTTATATTTTTTATTCTTTAAGAGGATTTTCAATCTGTGCAGGGATTAAAATCTCTATTTTTATGCATTGCTGGATGCTGTATTAAGGTTAAATTTACAGTCACATGGAGACCGTACTGAATTTATTCAGCATTTTCACAGATTACATATTTTTATATCTATTGTAATGCATAAATCTTGTATTTTTGGTGTTTAGAATACACTGAACCATATATTGAAACATGCTGTACCTGTAGAAGGTGAGCATGCAGCCTGTGATGGACATGTTCATTGGCACCTGAGCAGACATCCGCCCAATCACAAACATCTTCTCGCCCGTGTCGGGGTGGAAGGCAGAGTCGTAGATGTACTTGGCTCTCCAGAGCTCATCCTCCGTCAGGCCAGGCTTCACAGTCCCTGCTCTGAAACAGAGTGGAGTGATTGAACCTTGGGAACAAATTTAACCATTTTTGTATCCTAAAACAAAAATCTATCCCAACAACCCTAAGTAAGTATATTGCGTTTCAAAAAACCATATTGAATGAAGAACAAGCATCTAATTTTCATTGGTAGCATTTTACTGCAAGCCCAGATATAAGAGTTTTCTCCTTTATTTGTCAAGAACTAGTATTACCTTCTCAGTTTGAGATATCTTTCTTATCTTTACAACATTTTCTTATATGTAAAACAAATGTACACAAAGTATGACTTGCTGATTTTTAGATTCATGCTACCCAATTAAAGACATTGGCATCATCACCTGGTCACATTAATGCTCATTTCTATTCATGCCTGACACCACCCTAAAATTGGCATTCATACTCTTACTCCGTCCTCTATCTCCTGAGCTTCTACCTGTAGTTCTCCACGATCACTCTGGCCTCGTCCAGAGTCTCAGAGGACTGCAGGACGTTCCTGGGATCTGTGACCATAAAGAAGTGCTTGGCACGCCCCATAAATGTGCCTTGATCCCATCGTGGCTCCTTGATGTTTATGTTGAGGGACAACTCTCCAGACATCCTGGTTTTCTTTGATCAATGACAAAAATTTTAATTAACATTCATATTGATTGGGAGGATTTCAGTGAAACAATTCGTCTGACAGATTTAAATTTTAGAAATGTCGCATGGATCAACAAACAACCAGGTCCAGTTACATACCGGACTTCAACGAGTACTTCGACAGGCTAGGCTTTGTTTGATATTAATGCTAATGTGATAACTGTATTTCAGTATAGATACCAAAACAATACTGTTTTGATAATTAACTTTGAAAAACATATACATTTTTCCATAAAACCTTTTTTTAATGTCCCAAAAGAAGACAAAGCTCTTAAATGTTGAAAGGTGTAAACATAAGAACTTTGTCATAATAAAATACAGTCTAAAATTGTCAAAATTATGATTTGAACTACTTTCTGATCTCATTTAAAAGAACAGGGACACAACACTACAAATCTCACCAGGCATTTCATGGAATTGTTTACAAGCCCAGTTCTACAGGTGAAATCATTATAATTAAAAAACCCTGGCAGCACAGTTAAGCCCTCACCTCTACTCCATTAATAGCTCTGCTGCAGGACGGAGCTGCATTGAAGCAAAGCCCCCACCCCCATCACTAAACAGCATACACCCAGAACTATACGCAGTTATCACTGAGAAAATAACCCCACACACTAGTTGTCCAGGTTTACTTTGTGTCACTGTGTTCAGTCTCTCAGTACTTTCTGAAGAATAAAGGACATAGATGAAGCTTGATGAGGTGTTCTGACATGTTGTTCTTTCTGTGTCAAATTCAAAATGATTATATTGTTGACTTGTCAAACTGTTGTTTTTTTGGGAGTATCCAGCAGCCAGAGGGCTTATCTCAAAGTTGTGGCTGTGAGTACGAGATAAAAGACTGTACAGGAAGTACTGGTGTTTGTAATACTAGTGTTTTTAAATCAGTCAAACATACCACCAGTTAGGGCAAAAAAAAAAAATACTTCCACTATTGGTTTATCTGTCAACAATTCTCTGGAGGAACATTTTTGTCTATAAAATATAGGTTAATTGTGAAAAATCCCTATAAAAACTTCCCAAAGCCCATGCAGTCTTTTTGAAATAACTTGTTTTAATTGAGTAACCATTCAAAACCCAAAGATATTCAATTTACTGTCATTTAAGACAGTGGAAAGCAGCAAATTGTCACAATTGAAGAGCTGGAGCAGGGTAATGAGCCATTTTGCTTGAGAAATGACAATCTATTTAGAGATGCAATGATTAGTCGATTAATCAATTAGTTGATCAGAAGATAATTAATGCAGCCATTTTGATGATTGATTCATTGTTGCAGTCACTTTTCAAGGACAAACAAACATTTGCTGGTTTTAGTTTCTAAAAAGAGAATTTTCTGCTTTGTTTTATCATATATGATGTAGTTTTTGAAATATCTGAGGATTGATCTGATGGACTAACAAAAACTATGTTAGGAGATCATCTGATGAAATATTTGAATTTTAGCTGCATTCCCAAATCGATCATCAAAGTAATTACCCATTATTTTACTATCAATTGGCTAGTCGTTTCAGCTTTTTACCTTTGCACTTATTCAGTAGGTGTACAGGAGACATTAGTGTACCTGAGTACAAACACTGAACTATTACAAGAATATATGCGTTTATTTAAGCAGCATTCTTACAGCATTCCTACAGCATTCCTACATTCCTCAGGCCACTAAAGACAATAACCACCTCCCATCTACAGACTGCAAATGGATTGAGAAAATACTTCCAGCACGCACTGAACAAGAGCGAGATAACAGCTGATACGGTGGCTTCAAGGACACAAACGTTTAAAACGATGCTAAAGCACAAACAACTTCTGGCTGGTGTTCAAAAACAAATTTCACATACAAATTCACTTTAATCTTGGAGTAAAAATGTCCACGATGAGCTAGCTAACTTGTCAGATACTAAGATTACACGAGTCACACTGCAAGCAGTTGATCAAAGAAATACCGTGACAGATGGGTTCACGACACACCGGTTCCTCTGTGCAGAATGGCTAACGACTGTTAGTTGGCTAACGTAGCCAACTAACAGTCACAAACTGGAGTACAGGGATAACCAAATGCGACATTAAAACCGCATTTAAATCAACCAATATCAAATACTCAGCTACACAGGACAGTAAACAGCTTTTTACGCTGCCAAAACAAAACACTTAGTAAGTAACGTCAATCAGACAGCTAGCCAGGTAGTTTACAAGCTAACTAACATGCTAGCACTTCAGTTAGCGTTGCAAGGACACACATCGAGACAGAGTAATCGTTAACTTAGTCAGATTGTGATTAAAATTAGTTAATGTGAATTCAGTGAGTATTAAACCTACCTGGTTTGCTTTCTTTAATTTTTTTGTAAATGTATGACCTCTCAATATCACAGCACAGCCGGGTGAAGGTATGCTGCCTTTTTGTACTCTTAAAAGTGTCGTAAAACACAACTTCACGGCAAATGACAGAGAGGGTCATTAGAAAATGTAGACAAAAGCCATGTCAACAAAGTGATGATCTAACAACGTGTGGAGATCATCATATGTATGCAATATCTTAATCTAAAAGCAACAGTAACTATAGCTTTCAAATACACGTACGTAAGAAAAATACTCAACTGTGGTTTTAGGAAATCAGAGTTTCTGAGAGGCCTTTGAAAGCAGCACCGTGCAGTGAAACACCGGGGGCGGTGTTTGTCGTGGAGGACATGAGGTACTGGAAACCGCTGGGCGTGGAGAACAGACAGCACGTAATTGGTTAGAAAAACAACTGACAAAGTTGTCAACCGGCCCAGAAAAAGTCATTTAAATGTGTTAAATGCAATATAACCTTTGGGTAATCGACAAAGTATCGGAACGATTTAAAAAAATATTTATAATTTGAGTGAATGCATTCAGCTAAGTAAGGTAATGCTTATTAAAAAGTAAAAGTAGATGTTATATGGAAAATCATTACTATTTAATATGTAAGCAGCATTTTACTGTAATTTTAAGCAAGTTTAGTCAATAAAAAAAATCACAGGCTATTTTATAAACCCATCATCTGAGTTGTATGTAAAGTCATAGTCTGCAAAGTAACTAGTGCCTAAAGTACCTGTACTACCATTTTAATTGAGTAAGTGTATTTTATCACTTTCCACCACTTGAAGTAACCTGTGAAAAGGTCAAGAGTGCTTTGATTTGTTACTTTTAACTCTGTCTTGATTTTTTTGTTAATAAAGTTGTCAAAATACTAATATTTTGAAGTAAAACAACCCTTATGACGGTCTGACTTTAAAATGAGATAAAGGCATGACATGACACCGCTGACCACCGGGTGGGGTTGTTTATCCATCTCAGTGGCGTGGTCAGGGCAGTCTGGGAGATCCACCGCTCCGTTTTTCCACCTACATCTGGAGTCTTACTGGAAAATAATTAATAACAAGGTTTACCTGAGGACAAGCTGCTATAGACTTGAGTCAGTGGTACAGTAATGATGTGCAATTAGTGTGCTTAATCATCACTGGTCCGGCGCTAATGGTTGCACAGCTGCAGGGGCTTTATGTAAAAGGCTTACACCTCTTAAGACAATAATGGTCGCCTGGAGAACAAATGAGGTGACACTAATACTCCGGAGGTGACGCGGATCAGTCCGAGCTCATTCAGCACAACATGGACACAACAGGTAATGCTGTCATGCTTTGTTCACTTTATTTTGAATGCAAACTAATGATGTTACATTTTTTTGTAACGTTTCGCGGTTGAATGTGTCAGCATGAGTAAGTTTAGACATAATTTCTGAAAGAAGACGCGTTAAAGTTTTAACGATACCGCTCGCTGTGGCAGATGTTGTCTACAACTTAGTTACTTTATGAACGTGAATTAATTTATGTTCAGTCCAAACTAATGCACTTGTTTACTATCTCTTAGTCGCTGTCCATGGTGCTGATTGATAGAAAAAACACGGATGAAGTTCAAGGAGAGAACAGTGTTACGTCTGTGGTCAGGTGGGATATGGTACCACTTTCTAATAGCACACCAGTTATGATGGGGGTTTAAAGGGCTGTTATTAATATGGATGTTGAGTAGTTAATACACTGTTTACTAATTATTTATTGATCAGTTATAAGCTTTTTGGTTGCCAGGTTGTGAAAAATCCTCCCTCACCAGACACTTGTCTTTTTTCATTAGAGAGACCCCTCTCTCAGGAAAAGGGCTGCAGGACATCTGGACAAAGCCCAATGTCATAGTAATCTTTATAACTGCAAACCTGATAACATTAGTGTAACTCCTAAGTACTCATTAATAGTTTACCAACATTTAAAACTGTGACATTACTGAATAGAAACACAGCCATGTTGTAACCAAAACATGTTATTTAAAATGGACACTGTAATGAAAGAGAGTCTTTATTCAAACAACAGAAGAATGCAATAAAACTTTCTCTTCACTCTAACCACCAACACTTCACATTTACTGTAGCCTATTGTTATCTCTGCATTTGTACTATTTTAAGTTTTGGATGTAAATCAAACTCGATGTATAAGTTAATAAATTATTATAGTAAGTCTGCTGTTGCAAGTATTAATAAGATGTTCATAAGTGAATTTTAGTCAAGTTGATAAATTACAGAGCTTTAAAGTTAAAAGACAAGCAAAATGTCATGCTATAGGACGATTTTCCATAACCTGGCAACTCAAAAGTTGTTCCTATTAATGGTTTATAACCATCTATAAAGCATTAGTAAAGGATTTATTAACCATTGATGAAACCATGAATTATAGCTTAAAAAGCCCTTCATAAATGGTGCTTTATTAGAAAATGGTTCCCTATTTTCTATTCAAATTTATTTTTTCTATTCAAGGTTGCAGGTTATGGTCATAACTGTATCACAATGAAGGAGTTTTATTATCCCATCTGGAACTTCTGAGTCCACATTACCTATGACAGCATATTGTTTATTCTTCTCACAACAGATATCCATTTAATTAAACATGACCCGAGGGGAATCACCATGCACCGCTGACTTCTGTGCAGACAGGCCCGCAGCCTCTCGGCTGCAGCAGGGGGAAACGGCCCAACACCATGGACTCTAAGGAGAAGGACTCAGAGGCTGCACAGGAATCCAGTGGATTACACCAACTTCTCTAACCTACAAAGAAATTTAGGATTTGATCCTGGGTAAGAAAATTGGAAATCCAGTGTCCATCGTTCAGTCATGGAGCGCCATCCTTTTTAAATGAGTATAGTTTGTTCATTCAGCTGTGTGGAATCAGCTTAGCTTTGAGCTTTTCTATGTCACATTGTCTCCTTTGAATTCTAATTCTTATTCTTATATAAGCCTCATTTATGGTCTGAACCTGGTTTCAGTGAAGATCATTGATGTTACCTACAGCTTTGTAAGTTTGCTGCTCCAGTGAAGATCAACTCTAGTATTTTATCATCCACTTTGGACCAGCAGTTGCAAAAAAGCCCAGTTCCCCACCTTACCTGTCCCCCACCTTCTATCCCCCAATCCTAGGCTGCACCTCTTCCATCCTGACAGCAGACCCCAGATATCCTCCTGTCTGGATGACTAAGGGAAGAATTGCCAAACACATAGCATGGCTCACTCCGCTCACCCCTCTGGCTGGAGGGAGATGACAAACGGAGGGGGGCACCCCCATTCCCACAATGGAGGCCAGACCGGGGGTTCCCACAGCACCACACGCTACATGCTGAAGAAACAGCACCGCCACAGACGCAGGTCCTCCTCCCCGATGGGCAGGGTCATTCTCATAAACGCCCCTGTTGATGGTGAGGTCCGGACATGATGAAGGTGCTCTGTTACCATGGATCTTTATGGCAGGTAGATGTTACTGTGTGTTGTGGGTTTGTTTGCAGGAGGAGATGACTGTGAAGACATTCACACAGTGACCGTAGATAAGAGTCCCGATGGGCGTCTGGGTTTCAGTGTCCGTGGAGGCTCTGAACATGGGCTTGGCATATTTGTCAGCAAGGTGGAGGACGACAGCTCTGCAGGTTAGGAGGATGTGTGCATGTGTCCTGTGTGTGTGTGTGTGTGTCTCACGGCGATGGCATGCTTATTTTTCATTGTGTTTACATGTGGGTATGTGTCATGTCATCCTGACTTCCCCCTGTGTCTGCAGCACAGGCTGGGCTGACTGTGGGCGATAAGCTGGTGGAGGTGAACGGGGTCAGCCTGGAGAGCATCACCATGAGCAGCGCTGTGAAGGTCCTGACAGGAAACAACAGGCTTAGAATGGTGGTGAGACGGGTGGGCAAGATCCCTGGCATCCGCTACTCCAAGGAGAAGACCACATGGTGAGGCCAAACGTCTCGGTTTTGTCAATGTGAATAAGGCTGCCAAAATGACATTTAATCACAATTAAATATTTGCCCTAGATAGTTAATTCTACAGCTTTACAAACAGTAATTTTCTATTATGACTGTCTATACTTTCTGGATATACTATTATGTAAAGTTCAGACGACAGCCTTATTGTTATCACCACTGACCTTTGCATGGCTCTTGTTTTATGTCGTCTTGTCACTTGACTGTAGCTCACACTGGTTATCTTTCTTTTGGGATATACTTTATCTTGGTTTCATGTAGCAGCAGTGGATGGATTACCGCTGTGACCTTTATGGCTATTTGATTAACCGCCACTGACACCCCTGAGCCCGGTGGAGAAAGGGAAATCAGTTTATGTAAATGTTTTCATGTGTGCATATATACCCTTTTCTGCATTTGCGTGTGTGTGTGTGTGTGTGTGTGTGTGTGTGTAGGGTGGATCTGATTCACCGGCGGATGGTAGTTGAGGAGAGCGGTCAGACACCATCAGAGGCCAGTTCAGACAGTGCTCTCCGCAGGATTGTACATCTCTTCACCACGTCAGATGACTACTGTTTGGGCTTCAACATCAGAGGAGGCAAAGAGTTCGGACTGGGGATTTATGTTTCTAAGTATGAGCCAAGTCGAGTTTGAAATACGCTCAGCTTTTGCTTCAAATGTCAATCAACATCAGATAGATATAATTGGTTGATTGTTCATACAGCCGAGCCCAGGTTCAACCCACCCTGCCTTTATACATTTTCTGTTCAGGCTGGACCCAGGTGGGCTCGCAGAACAGCATGGCATCAAGATGGGCGATCAAATCCTTGCAGCCAATGGGGTGAGCTTTGACAACATCACCCACAGCAATGCAGTCGAGGTCCTGAAGAGCCACACCCATGTGATGCTGACCATTAGGGTGAGAGACAATTTTCCAAATAAGCTTGAGGTCAAATTTAAAGCTGCACTAATCTGTAGTTCTCATATTCATAATGGACCAAACGGTGTAGTTCCACTCAGCTCTGTGGAACATTTTAGCCTCTCAAAGCTCATTGTTTTGGGTTTACAATCCACAACTTCAGTGTTATGGCTCACTCTCACATCCACCACAAAACAGCACACACACAGTAGTTAGGAACTAGCTGGTGAACATAGTGGGCTGAGCTGAATGCTGATGTTGCTCCATGCCTGCTAGATGTGTAAATGAGCAATTTGCTAACACGTTAACCACTCCAGCTTTACAACGTCCAAATATGTAAAATTTTGCTTACCCTAGCCCTCAAATGTCCCAAAAAAATCAGTTAATGCAGGATTCTCTCAGGAAATCTGGTTTCAGATATGTGGTTCTGTGCACACCTGCGGTGCAGTGTTGTGTGGAAGTGTTAGTCATTTGCTCAGGTTTAAACATAATTGATTGGGTGCTTTAAGTGGCTTGACACAATAATAAATGTTACAGCGTGTTAAACAACACCAGCACTTCTCAGGAGGGGACAGAATGAGCCTGCACAGCAGAGCAGACAGCTGGCTTACAGCCCTTGAAGTCCTTGTGTGTGTCTGTGTATTCACGCATGTGTGCAAGGCCGCGTCACTTAACCTGTGTCGTTTTTAGATAGAGGAATTGTGTGCATGTTTGTGTCTATGAATAGACGTATGTGTGTTGTGCAATGCGTTTGAGTGTGTGTAAGCTCGCTCTCTTAGCTCTCTAACATTGCTGCATGCTCATTTTACTCCTCTGATCTCAGGTTCCACGTGTGAAAAACAGCCAGGGACGACGTTCATTATTCAAAGGCAGTCAGGGATCAGGTTATAATCAACAGAAAGCCTAATTTTATGTCTTCCTTCTGTCCTGTATTGGACACATATATGGGTCAGACCACGCATAGTGGAGCCAGGGTTAATGTTGGTTACAAAACACTCACACCAGTGCATCTAATGCTTTTGTGGAATGTTGTAGATGTATTCTTGAGTGTCTTCTCTTTGACCTTAAGCTGTCTATTGGTTAACAATCCCCTAAAATGGACTTGAACGGCTAGTGGACACTAATTCATTGCCACACCAGTGGTTTCCAAACCTTTGTAAACCACAGCACCACACTACAACACATGTACATGCACCTTTTTCATTTAAGTGACATTGTGAATATCTGTTTTAATGAATTAAATTTTAACAAACACAAACATATCGTATATGCTAATGTAAATATTTAGTATAGTATATAGTATATAGAAGTAAGTATAATAGAGGCCAACAGTTTTAGGCTATACTGTCCAGAATTGAAGATATCTAATAGAGTGCAACCTGTGCACTGACACAGTTTTTATGGATGGAGATGTCGGCCTGTCGGTCAGTCCACCACTGTGGTCCTAACATAAATATCTCAACAACTGTTGAAGGATTGTTATGGATTTTTTGTACGGACATTCATGGTGTCCAGAGGCTGAATCCTAGTGACTTTGATGAACCCTTGATCTTTCCTTTAGTGCCACCATGAGGTTGACATTAGTAATTTTGAGTGAAATGTCTCAATAATTGATTGATTGATTGTCATATATTTGACACAGACATTCTGACATTCATACAGACAGTCACATTCAACCCTAAGGGTGACTTTGATGATCAATAACTTCATGTAGGGCCATCATCCGGTCAGATTATCCATTTATCCAATACTTTGGTCACAATGTGAATGTCTGTGTCCCACAAGTAGCCAAAACCTACAGTATTAAAAAAATGTAAATTAACAAATCTCGGCTCATTCTTAAGCTTGAGTTTTTTAGCTGATTGTCAATGAAACAATGAGATGCTGCTTCCTTTGTTGTTTTTAGTCTGATTATGTGGACTAGTTCATATTCTTGTGTTTTTGCACTTCAACAGGAAGCTGGGAGATATCCTGCTTACAAGGAGATGGTGGCAGAATACGGCTGGCTCGACAAGTGTATGTTGACTGTTCCAAAAATTGTATTTATCACAAAATATGATTTTACTAGTGTAGAGACAGTGTTTTGCAAAATAATGAAGATGTGACCTGATGATTTCAAGTTTAAAATTCTTATTTACATTTGCAGTGCCACATGTTGGATTCTTCTAGGAAACCTTACTTAAAAAAAGGAACATTGGCCACATGTAGTCTGCCTGTTCTAAAACCCTGTCATTCAATTTATTCACAGGACTCAAACTCCTTGTTTTCCACTAAGATATGAGCACTTCTGAAAACAGGCAGGGATTAATTCAGTGTACTCAGAGCGCGACCTGACATCTGGGTCAAGATGCAGAGTCATTTTGGAGTTTCATTTAAGAAAAAAACAGAAGAACCCCTGGTTCATGTTCTGTCTATCAAAAGCTTAGAGGATTAACAGGACACAAGGGCAGACAGGTTTTAATCCAGACAAAGCAGACTGTGTAAAAAAAAGAAAGAAATGAAGCTTGCTGTGCAAATCTTATTCACTTTAGCAGCTTTTATGTGTGTGTGAGTGTGTTGTTGGAGCAACTGGACAGTTTCATAATGTAATGCACTTGTACAATATTACTTTAAACACACTCTAATCCCCATACTTCATTGTAATTTTGGATTGTTTTCGACAGTGGCCAATGGGGGCCCTGCTCCATCCTCCCAGGGTTCAGACTCCAACTCCTCTGCGTCCTCGCTGTCCTCCAGCACCCCTCTCAGCTCCCTCAGTGGTCTCTCCCAGGTCCTTTTCCCTCCTGTCTTTGGCACAGAGATGGTAGACGTTGCCATCTCCACAGAGGACCGCTCTCGACGTCCAAGCAGCACAGAGCGAACTGCTGACACCGCCATACAGACTGACCCCCACCCTCCAATCTCCGTGGACAACTCCTCTACCCACAATGGGTCTTACCCTGACAGGCTGGTTGCCACAGAAACCAGTCGGACTGTAGGTGCCACAGTGCTGCTGAAGGACACAGTCATACGTGGGAAAGGGGAAGGACCGAGGGAGATGGGAGGAGTCGGGGAAGGAGGGCGGGGACGGACGAGGACGCTGTCAACTGGGGACCAGGAAGTTGTGAAACACTCACCTAAGACAGCAGCGCTGATGGCTCTGAGCAGACCAAGGAAACCCATCAGACGTTCCCAGAGCCACATCACTGTGTCAGGTGAGACTTGCAGGCTCAATAAAATTTGCTAAACAAAAATGGCGCAACATATAAAAGGTCATTTTAGAAACAGCATCTTAATTACATAGTTTGACTAATAGAGAGCACTGGTGAGTTTATTTTTCAACTGCAAAATGTTCAGGATATATCTTGGTCATGTTTCTTTAGAAATAATGTAATGTAAAGTGTATGAGACCCTCATCAAAATTATTATTAAAGTATTTATATTTATATAAACAATCTACACCCAAGCTAGCAGCTCTGTGAGGCTGTAACACTCATTGTGAAGAAAAGCAAACTGTTAAACAAAAGTTGAGATACAAAATTCGTTTTTTTTAACAGTTGTGGACCGATTGGCCAATGTATCACTGTCAGATTTTATAGACTCCTATATATCCAGAATCAGTCAGGCTATACTCTGTATTGTGGTTGTTGATTGTAGTGGCAGTATCATCCATCTCAACAGAGAAATCAGCCTTTCTTGAATCATAGCACAGTGAGTGCTGCAGCCACAGTCAGGTTCAGTTCTTGAGCTGATTTTTGTGACAGTACCTGCATTCACTGTGTAATGAGATCCACTCTCAAACATCCTCCTCAGATCTTTCTGCAGGGCAGCAGCCAGTTTAATGACCCCTCATCCCTCTATCACTCTAGGAAGTATACAAGAACATCCAGACTCCACATGGCTGATTTAAGCTCCAGCCAGAATTTGTCCAAGAGCACAAAGTTAATGCAGCCTCATGATTAATCACTGCCCTTTACTCTCACTTGCTGTACCTCTGTGAGAAATGAATAAGAACAAGCATATGGAGAAATATCCATCCAAACCTTGGTGGGGCTGTTGAGTTATTAGCCTTTCCTTTTCAATTTATCCAGCTCATTCATACCTCCAGGACCTGGTGGAGGCTTGAGGGCAAAGCCCAGGGCTGATTGGGCATTTGTTATGTAAGCTTGAGCACTTCACTGTAGTGCTCTCAATAGATGGGGGTGTGTTGAGGTTGGTGTAGCTGCAATTCATCAGTGTTACTGTGATACTTTCCACAGTGGCAGATTTACTGCAGTGAACAGAGGAGCTGACTAGAATAGAGATGAACAGTCAAAACTCATAAAGGAGAGTGTGTATCACCCAGTGTTATTGGCTAACTGTTAACAATAGAAGAGTACAAAGCCTAATGAATTGTGTTTTCAACACCACACACTGATATGCAGAATGTCCTGTTCTTGCTATGGTTCAACAACACTTGTGGACGATTTTTGTAGATTAACTGCAGCAAGGGTGACATGCAACTGCCACCTCCAAATTAGCTGGAATTACTGAAATTACTTGTTTACATTAGCAAGTAAAAGTCTGTGCAGGCTCCACACACAATGTTAAAATCAGTTCAAATAAGTCATATTTCAAAGCATTTATTTGGCAACTCTATCTGCATTGACTACATATATTGATGTAGAGGGACTTAGCATTGAATCAACTCTATTTGGTCATCTTTTTGTCCCTTCTTTAGAGGACCGACAGAAGAAGAAGAGGCAGCAGAAGGAGAAGAGCTCGGCAGGGGGTAAAACTAGCCTGCAGCGCTCCAAAACCTTTGTCAACCTGTTATTTAAGAAGGACCGTAAAGAGAAGAGCAGCTCTAAGTCACAATCCCACCACGCTGACAAAGGTGAGCCTGCAGTCACATGACATTTTTTTGTCTTTTTCCCTGGCACATGTTCTGCATCCTACAAAGCAAAATCTAGTCTAATGTAATTTAATTTATTCTTATTTAACATCTTACAGTGTAATATGCATGATGCTCAGGACAAATTGGTCCTCTGTTGATTTTTCATACAGACCTAAATTAGAAACACATTGTCTCATGAAAAACGACTACATGTAGAGTTGTATTTGAAGCAGAATATAACCAAAGGTTGAGAATCTCTGTGCGGACAGTTCTGTTCAGGTACCTGAGATTATCTATATAAACAGGCAGATTCACTGGTCTCGGTGAAGAGAAAAGACTTTGCTTAAGTGCTAAAGCCCATTTCATGTTTTCTTTCTTAATTATATGTTGATTAAAGAGCTGCATTTGTAAAATTTCCTTAATTTTTGTTGAGTTTTCAGAATGGAGTAAGAAACTTTTTGTGTTTTTGGAAGGGAAGATTTTTTACTGCATTATATTTATAAAGCTTGGAAAATAAGACAAGTTCTTTGTTTGCAATGTAATGTTATATGTAGACAGACATGTTCTTGTCTGACAAATGTTATTCCTCTGCAACTGTATTTGTGGTGTCTTATAAGTTCATGTGGGCAGAGTTCTCACATGTGCATGACAAACTAACTGCACACTTTTCAAAAACTCATGGCACTGTCATCATAATTTGGGGTTACATCCACTGAATATTGAAATAAACTAATTAAAAATCTTCCCCTGAGTGGGTAAATGTTTACTTGTGTCCAGGTAATGTAATTTGCTGTGAGCATATTAGCGTCAAGGTAATGATGTGGTAATGAATAATTGTGAAATGGTTGACTTCCACTGGAAATAAATTTAAAGCATTTGATGCCATCTGCAGATTTTCTTGTTTGCATCTTTTTTTTATTCCAGCTGTAACTTTAATTCCTTAGATAAGGAGAGGGGTCGAACTTTCCAGCTCTTGACCTCCCCGAGGGAATCCCGCGCTGGGGTTAGAAGCAACAGCCCGCAGCCCCGACCCGAGACCCTGCAGTACATGGAGGACATGGCAAAGAAACTGCTCAGCCAGGATGAGGTGGCTGCTGTGATGAGACACTGTCAGCGGGTGAGCTCCTGATCTCTAACACCTCAGTCGTACTCTCCTGTGTGCCTGTGTGTGTTTTTTTCCTGCCACTGAATGAAAATCACCTGGACTACTGGAAGGCTTAAGTGTGCTGTATTGTTGCCTGAGTGTCCTATAGTGATAGATGTGCCTGGCAGTGACTGTGACAAAAGACGGATTTTGGCCTGTCATTTATGATTAGCATCAAATATCAGTCATCTGATCCCCTTGTCTCTCTTGGGCCATCTCACACTCATTGGCCAATTTCAGCGGATCAGCTCCTCGGTCGGCCCTTTGCCACCACTGCAGAGGATATCAAGTCCACTTAGAGCACAGTATTATGACTGACCTCTTAATATAGTATTTAACACCACTGAAAACCGTTGAGTGCAGTGTTGTTCTTAGAAAGGTGTATGTTTAATGTGCATGCAGAATATCAGAAGACAACCCAAACTCCAATCTAAAAATGTACTTGTGTGAAGAAAATCGACTATGAATATACAAAACTGAAACTGAACTATAAGTGTAAAATTGGAATACTTGAGTTGTCTTTTTCTTATTCTTCTCCTCTAATTTTTACACCAATCTCATCTCTTCTTCAGTTTTTGTCTGACAATGTGATTGAGGATTTAGTACGTCCCCTTTTGGCAATTTTGGACAGGCCAGAAAAACTGCTGCTTCTCAGAGAAATAAGGTGAGATACACAGAGTATTTGTACAGTATAATACTGTTTGTATATGTATACATACTCTATAAGTATGTGTTAATGATGTGAGCATATCCTCTGCAGAATGCTGATACCTACGACTGAGTTGGGCCGGTTTGACAGCATGGTCATGCCCTTTGAGCTGGAGGCGTATGACATTCTCAAGAGTCGCTCCAGTAAGCAGAGGAATGTACTTAACAACATGATTTTTTTATTGATGCAGCTTCTGTTTGCATGAAAGCAAGGGTGTAGGGTTGGTCTCAGAAGTGGGTGGTAGTCACAGATTCTTCAACAAAAAAAAGAAATTACAAAAAAAAAAAACCTGAAAATATGTGAATGTTATTTCTTGGGGTAAAATATTTAAATAGACTGAAGAAATAACACATTATTATGAAAGTGGTTATTGAGGTTCCTCAATTAATGGTTTAGTGTGAACACACTAATTGTACTTTAGTTTTCTTTCATACAGATTCATTACCCTTTACTTCCTCATTTTTGATTGATGGTCTCCTTTTAAAGGAATTCAAATAGAAATTAAAAAGAAATTGAAGGGTCTTTTTTCTTACCTGAAAAGTGTAAAACAAAGTAACTCACTGTTACTCATACAGCTTGCTGTAATTGCTGAATATAATTATAATATAATTATAATAGATAATGAATGTAATAATTGAAAATGACCCAGCTGAATATATTAATATCTATATCAGCTCATCTCCTCCTAAAAGAGTAAGAAATATAGTCGTTAAAAAACACAGGGAAGATTACACAAAGCAAAAAAATTTATTTAGTTGTTTATTTCTCCTTAGTGCGTTCACCAGCTCTGCGCTCCCCTCGCAGTGGAACCCCTCGACGTCACCTCATCACCCCAATCCCAGGTACATGAGCCTTTTCTCTTCTTTCTCTTTCTAGACCTCACCTCTTTCTTTTTACTCTCTCTCTGTCTGGTTGATGGCCTTTCTCTCATCCCAGAGGAATACGAGATACACAAGGGGCTTAAACCTCTCACCTTTCCTTTCCTTCTTCTAACCCGCTCCTCACCTCACTTCTTTCCTGCCTCATCTCTTGTCCCTGGTGTCAAACTGAAACAGCTCCAATCCCTGGCATCCCATACGCACATATCCACCCCCCGACCTCCAATAAAACACACATAAACACACACACACAGACACAGACACACACATATTAAATATATCAGGTTTCCTGTGCCTGCGCTGGAGCGGAGGCTTGTGTTACATCTCTGTGGCCTACAGAAAGGACCAAGACGTGGCTGGTTTGCCGGTGTGACACTTCAACAATACAAAGATGCTTCGAGCATTTTCCTCTTTCAACAGTCACTGAGACACAATCAATACAGTCTCACTTAGACTGACTGCAGCCATCTCACTTTCTGAGGGCACTGGTTAGGGGTCAAAGGGTCAGCATCATGATAGCAGAAGGAAGCTGACAGGGCGTCACTGTGGTGCCAGTGTTTAGGAAGGTTGAGATGGCCGACCTTATATCACAAGATGCAGCGTTGGGTTTTTGACATGTTTTGTCCTGTTTAGGAGTATATCTGACTCTCTGACTTCTCAATAAACTACTGAATTATACCTCACCAAACAGTATAGTTAGCCCTGAGGGAGGAGAAATTGGATATCAGAAGAGGTTACAGGTGGACTTGTGCTGCACTGAATTTCAGTTTGATGCTGTGTTTCAGTTTTTCTTTTGCAAACTAATGTTCAAAGCAACTGCTCTCCAGCTACTAGTCTAGGGTCTTATGCCCTCTGAAAGATGTCCCACAATTCCCCTTTCTCTTCACTGTCTTTAGTATAGAGAAACATCCCAGGTATTTCTACCTACCCAATGAGAAGAGTGCAAGTGATGTTGGAGGTTGAGTTGCATTGTGGGTAATGAAGCATCAGCTTTTGACAAAAAAAATGCATGGAAATAAAAGGACAATATCTCTGGTTCTGCTGCATCGATCTGTCCATCATGAGTCTATGTTATAGGAGTGAAATGCTAAATCAGTGGAGGTATCTTTTAGCTCATGCTGACCTGCTGCTTTGACTCTGAATAATCTTCATTTCACAGAAGTTCCACATCTGGAGGAAAATTCTACTTTTGCTTTTTTTTTTTTACTGTTTTTATGTTTGTCCAGAATACAGGGGTGGGTTCCACCTCCAGCCGGTCCATGACACACTGCGGGAGCGTCAGTTGATTGAGGAGCTGGAGAGATTGCGTTTGTCTGGAAAGCAGTCATGCCATCTGCCTCCATCCCGTGCCTTCACTCCCTTGCTGGATGTACCTGTGGACAGCTACTTCTCCTCCACTGTGCGCTCCCGTTCCCTGAGCCCCTCACCCACCCACAGCTTCCTCCTCACAGAATCACCACACAGCACCCAACGTGGGCGACAACCCCATCGCTCCCCAAACAGAAGAGAGAACGGGGACGAGGTCTCCTTATTGTCCGTGTCTGACCGAGGAGATGTGGCTCCTGAACGAGGGAGGTCACCTGTGAGGAACGGCCGTGGGCGAGTGAGGAGGGAGGCGAGTCCTGACAGTGTAGATGGCAGACGGAGCAGGCAGGAGGGCTTCACAGAGGTCAGCGTACGTGTTCCTTCACAGCAGGGAGGGAGAACTCCACTGGCTGATGTATTTGAGCCCTCAACAGACAAAAGCCCCTCCACAGGCAGAGGGAGCAGTCAGCAGGTAAATAGACATTTACAAAATGGTCACGGTGCAAGAAGAAGAGCAGCTCTGCCACCTGAGGAATATGAAATTGCCACTTTGACCATTTCAAAGGCCAAGCAGTCACTGGGTGAGTACAAGACAGAAACACATGCATTTTGAAAGTTAATTAAGTGAACTGAATATATTTTCAGTAATTTCTTGGTGCCAGCATCTGAAATTGTTTGAAATCTGTGAACATGTTTGTTCAATATACTTGCGAGCAGAATGAAAACTGCCAAACGACTATGTAAAGCTGTCTATTTTAATGTTTGCAGCCTCCCATGTTCATCACATAGCCAGCAGAGGTCAGGGCATCACTTGCTACTTAACTGAAAGGGATTTGGAAGCGTCAGATGATTAAAAGTTGGCAGAAAAAGAGCAAAGAGATTATGTACACTATGGGACTAGTTAGCATACAGAAATCTGGTAACATCAGGCAATCCTTCAGTTTTTTATGATTTTCCTGTTTGTTTACAGGTATAAGTATCTCTGGAGGCATGGAGTCAAGGGTCCAGCCCATGATAAAGATTGAGAAAATCTTCCCAGGAGGAGCTGCATCTACAAATGAGGCTCTGAGGGTGAGCAGTAACAGTAGATCATAAAAAAAAAGAAAAAGATATTTTGCAAAAAATAGGTGGCAATCGAATGACAAAGAACTAAGGAAAAGAAAAATGATGATTATGATTCTAAGCCTTGAGGTAAATTCAACATGTTAAATGTAATTATGTCTTTTTGCCATAAATATTGTGAATGTACTTCTGTTCCTTTATAACACCCTGATTTTAAAGCATATTAGATATCCATCCAGGTTGGAGTGTATTATGTACCTGTCAGACCTCTATCCATTGGTTATGAGTTGTTGTTGCTATATGTAAGCATGTCTATGACAGAGATGTTGAACGAGTGCAATGAGGAGTGGAGAGGAGATGAGTGGAGAGCATTCTCAAGTAGCCCATCACCTCCATTATTGATGAGGTACATGCATGCTAGCCTGCTAATGTATTGGTAATATATTGCCTGCACAGAAACTTAACAGTCCTCTATGATCTTGGCCTGGTTCACTTAAACACACATGATACACACACTCATTCACTACAGTTAACCACAGGCTAAGTCTTTAAGCTCTAGAGTCAAAGACACAGCGGTCAAACAACACTTGCATTGCAAAAGAAGTGTGTGTGGTTGAAAGTGTCTGAAACCAAATATATACTTGCAATAATACTGTATTTACTCAGACGGGTTAATTTGCATGTGTTTCCTAACAGCTCAACTGACATTAGCTAACCTGGTCTAATGCCTGATGAGAGTGTCAAACATCGGGGGGATCCAGTTTCTGCTCAGCCTTTCAAATTCAAAGAACTTCTCTTGCAGCGTCTTTGTAAACACATACATGCCTACACACACACATTCACACAAATATCACACATATACACAGACACACATTATGCGCCCCAAAGTAAGAGAAGATATAAAATAAGAGAATGTAAAAAAAAGCGAGTAAAGTGTCAGGAATGGCAAAGATGGAAAATGAAGCAGGGTATTTATATCGGATGCATAAAAAAACAAAACCTTGAAAAGACTGAAACAATACTAAAAGTCTACAGACATGCTAATGGCTCCGTTTTGTACAAAGGCACAGTGGTGTTTTGAGCTAAATCCTTAAATCGGTGTGCTAACATAGTAACAAAATAACAATGCTAACATGCTGATACTAGGCAGATATAATATTTACAATGTTCAATGTTCAATTTGTCTCGTGATGCCAATCCATCCAAGAGTTTTTGAGACATTTCACTAAAAACCACAAACCTCAACCTCATGGTGGCGCTAGAGGAGGACTCAGGGGATTAGCAAAGTGACTAGGATACGTAATCTGGGAGCCGTGAATGTCTGTGCCAGATTTCGTGACAATCCATCAAGCAGATGTTGAGATTTTATTCAGGATAGAGTTCTTGAATAACTGTACCAAATGCCATGTTTCATCTAATGGTTGTAGAGATATTTCAGTCTGGACCAATTGATGGACCAACCAACTGACATACTGACATTGCTATCCCTAAAGCCATGTGACATCAACATGGCTAAAAACAGAGAAGTTATTGGTTGGAAGCCTCAGATTTGTTATCTGTACCTGACACATCATATTTAGGCATGTCAGCTCGCTTGTATCAGCTCTCTGGCTTAGTACTATCTCCCCCTACTCTGCAAAGGGAAGTGAGACCAGGGCAGCTCAGCGGTAACATGCATCCTGTCTCCTTAGACTCACATGATAACAGACAATCAGTGAAGAATGTTGTTTTGTGCATGTGTGTATGTATATATATATATATATATATATATATATATATGTGTGTGTGTGTGCGTGCGTGTGTGCGTACGTGCGTGTGTGTGTGTTTGTGGTCATGTACACATACTTTCCTGTTCATTAGGCTCTGCCACCTGCTTTTATCTGGACATGAGCCTACATTTAACTGACTGTGAATAATGGCGTTGTGCCAGTGTGTATTTCACTGTGAATAGTTTTTAATTGGAACTACTGTTCCATTTACTGAAGAAATAGCCTCTTATGAGAACTGTTAATATTGTGTTTTGTGAATTATCCAAAGTAACTGGGACCTGGATTCCGGCTAATTTTTAGCCATGTTAGCGGTGAGGCATCATAGATGGTAATGTTCACCACTCGGATTGTTTCTGTTGATTAGCCTACCCTCAATGATATATATGGGATGTTTGTATAATGCAGTTTCAACAAAATCTGAACATTAACGCCTTCATGAAGAGAGAATTAATCGCAGGAGTTTTGTTAATTTCAGCTTTGTGTTCCTAATAAACTGTCAACTGACTACATGTCTGCTCCCCTTAGCTAAATAATCTAGTTGAATATATTTGTAATGGCCTGGTAAATGAGCGAATGATTCACTGATCCTTTCCTGCAATCTGTAGTAATTTTTTTACAAGCAATGTTATTTTTGGATTGTGATGTCCATTGGCTAGAAAAGAGGAAACCTCGTAAAGCGCTCCATAAATGGCTGTAAAGAGGATGGGACAGATTAGGCTGTGATTTATTTAATTCAAATAAATTACTTTTCAAAAATGAAAAAGCACTTTTTAATCTCTTCTTTGGTTAAATGGATCTAAATCTTTTGATACTGTTCTCACGGAAGACTGTGAGGTTCATCTGACATGCTGACACCAGACTGTCAGATGAACTGTATGAAAACCTGTCAGGACAAACACAAGGCAGCACAGATCTAACCTCCCCCCATGCTACCCAAATATATGTGACCTATAACAGAATAATCTGGTACAGAGTACAATCATCTCTTTGTGTCTAATGACTGGAAAGGAAAAGGGAAAGGGAAAAAGATGTGATTGGTGGAGATACAACAATGGCCATCGGCCTTGCGTGTATCTGTGTTATGTGTTACTAACCTTCACTGAGGTTGAGCGCACGAGTCAGGTGCATCCTCGGCAAACGCTGATGACATCAGAGGAAGTTCCTTTCCTCAGGGCTCCAAAGATTCACCACTCTCTGCTCACATCCTGCAGGAAGCACCGAGCAAACGGTCCTAACTGTGTGTGCGTGCATGTGGTTGTCTCAGTGTATGTTCTTTTTTCAACAACCTCGTGCTGAAGGGGAAACTTCATATGTGCACTTGTGAAGGCCTTCAGTGTGAATATATTAAAGTAACGGGAGCGCCCCAATTCTCTCTGGCATAAATCAGGTTCTCGCTAAGGGAAACAATCACTGCAGATTCATGGAAACTGTCCATAATCTTGTTGAAACAGATTGCTACAGAAAAAAGGGAAGAAAATGATAAGTAATGTAATCATGAAATATGAGTAATCTAATACTATCTAATGTTTTTTGGAGTTTACATGGAGCTTTGCATGTTAAATTCATCTGTTTACCTGTGATTGCATCTGCAGGCAGGGTATGAGCTGTTGTCCGTGGACGGTGAGAGTCTGCAGGGAGTGACACATCAGCACGCAGTAGATGTAATCCGCCGCGCATTCAGCAATAAGGCAAAAGACCCGATGGTTTTTGTGGTCAAGGTCCCTACCACCCCTCACCAGCCCCAGGGGACCTGCTGACTAACCTCCGTGGGCTTCACAGCCACACTGCAGCTGAGGCATGAAGAACACCAAAAAACCTACAGCTCCTGTGGAAGTGAATAAACTACAGGATTCACTCTGTAAGAGAAAATATGAGACAGGTGGAGCTCTGGTCATAGTGGAGAGGAATGGATGCACAGAAGCATCAGCCCCGTTAAAGGCAGAGTTCTGACAAGAAGTGAGGAAATTTGTCAGAAACAAAGAAACATGTTGGAGCGGGTTTTTAAGACTGATACAGTAGCTTATTTATCAGGATAAAGACTGTTATAAATCACTTTTGCTATGATGAATGTAAGATACTGTGTTGCCCTGTATGACTTTTGTAACATTCTTAGCGTTTTTAGCAAACATTTTACTGAACGCATACATTGCACATTAACTCAATCAAAAGTAAGTAATTTAGTGTTTTCTAAAGGGTCTTTTATGATAAGATCGTGTGGTTCATGAACTCCTCCTTGGTTGAAATTGTGCCACTGTTTGACACGTGGTAACCTTGCCTTGCCTAACCTCTGGGCACTCTGATGGTGAAGCCATTGGTCTGCACTTTTCAGTTGGAGGATCTCAGTCCAGCAGCCGTTCAGGCCCGCCAGAGGGAGATTACCCCAGCCTGCGTTATGAGATTTATAGATTTATACCCAGATTAAACCCCTGTATTATGTCAAAACTGATAGTTTGGGTTTAGTGGATGTCTCTGGGGATTATTACAAATTGCTGCTCAGTAATTTTTGTGCTGTTTTTTTCTGGCAGAAGTGCTTGTGCTCTGGAGCAGTCTGCCACTTTAGAGGCTTAATTACACCATGCTGTGGACTGAGCTTATGCAGACATGTGGAGGAGTTGGAAAAACATGTCAATGAGAAATGCAGGACATGGAGGCCGGTGGCACAGTTTGAATCAAAGTAGGCTAGAGGAGATATGAGCTGGAAGATAACTGGAATATAGTGTGCATAGTGCCTTACTTCTGCAGATGGCCAGTGGGGAAAATATTGAACAAACTTGGTTTTAACAAATGCTAGAAATGCTCAAGGTGAAATGTTTTATTCCAGGCATGCAATTAAAGTTAAAGATGAAATTGAGTGTGTCTATGCCTTTGAGATATTACAGAGTACTTCAGATGTTTGACTTTATTGCAATATATGCTCATTCAGTACACTTTTCTCACCATCAATTTACTTCAGGTTAAAAAAGCAAGTAAATCAACAGTCACTTTGAGGTGTGACAACTTGTTCTTTAATTAAAAACACAGTCATTTGTACAAGAAATGTACACATAAAAATATACATTGACAACTACATACTTTATGAATTAATGAAGACACGACGTAAGCAAACATATAAAAAATGCACACAAAAGGATGAAAAAAATGCCACAAAAAAAAGAAATGTGTTACGTTGCTTTGGTCTAATCACAGTGGCTACATTTTCAATAGACACTTTGTCTAAATAAAAGACAATGTCACTCTGTTATACTATTTAGTGTTTTACATATTTACACAGAAAAATGGTTATGGAACAGCAAAGAGAAGTGAGATGTGAGGGGAAAAAAACAGAAGTCTGGGATGCACGCAGCACTTTTCAGTGAGGGAGTCAGTTTGATTTGCAGCACCTGTGCTTGTTGTTAATCTGTACCTGTGCTGCATCCATGGTCAGTGAGTAACAGTCTAGTTCTGATGAATATGGTTGGATGAACCCAACTTGTTCCATTCAAAAGTCACTTACCTGGGCTTTATGTTAACAATTTATGCACAGCGCAGACTTTTAATATTCTGCAATATCTCTTAAACCACACTGAATGTGGTAACGTCAGGCAAAATACAGACTGATCAAATTTTCTGAGAGGGAAAACATAACACTTTATTGGTTTGCATCAGCTCCGACCTCAACTTAATGAGGAAGTCACTCAAGAATCACCCGTCTCATGCATTTATAAAGGGATGACATGCACAAGACGCAATGATGAAGACATGGATCGGTGTGATTTTATGATACTGATAATCAAATGAAAGATCAATCAAAATGGAGAAACAACAGGTCAAAACTAAGCCCCAAATAAAAGCCCCCAACTGCTTAATCAGCTGCAAAGTTTGGTCATCAGATAGTGTATGTTTGTGTCACACAGATTATATAATGTAAACAGATTTTCATGCATTACAGTATTAGGTGCACTCTGTCTATGCTGCTGCCTCCATTTGTAATTGATCCATCATTTGAAATATTGGTATGTGATAGATATAGATATATATATAGAAGTCTTTATACTTTGTATATTAAACCCACACTTATACCAGTACTACAACAAAATATCTTCAGGTGCTATATATAAAAAAATATACAACATCTTGTCCATTATATAGATTTCCATTTAACTATTATTCCATGATATAGACTCTTTGTAAAATAAAAGTTCTCAGCCCACTGCTTTTTCCATAGAGACCCGCCATGCCACTGTGAGAAAACAGAGCAACCCCACAGCTGCAAATGTTAACATCCTCCTCATCGGTTTATATTTAGGGCTTTAACAGCCGACCTGCCTTCAGGACATCCAGTGCTGGAGCTACTGCATCTGCAAATTCCCATCTCACCACTATCTAAGCCAGCTTCTTCTGAAATCTGATATAACAAAGACATGCAGACATGCCAGTCTCACTACCTGTATAGCAATCATGGAAGATTATAGTCTAGGGGAGACTAGGAAGACTTAAAAGTGTTATTTGGCTTTGGGCTGCCAAAAGCTAAATAAAGAACGCTAATGGGAAAGAAAGGGAACAAGTGGAAAATCTGAATAAGCATGCCTACAGCTCAAACTCCGGCTTAAATCTCCAAGTGCCCTGATGACCAAACTGAAAGAATATGCTCCATTTTTAGTTGCCTGATACCGACTGCTGAGGTGATTTTCACTGTTAGAAAAATAGTTGAGTAAGAAGGAGGAGAATCAGCAGCGTCTCGGTGATATCTCCCATGCTACGCTCTGCTGCCGAGTGCTACATAACTATAAAATGTAAATGTTTATTTCAGAGCTTGTGAATGAGTTGACACATTGATCAAGTGCAACAACGTGACTGTTGGTGGTCTAGAAAACATGACCGGCAGTCACATAAAGCATCTCCTTTGAACGTTTGGTTTCTGTGTCCTCTGCGGTTTGGGGTAATTACAGAATAGGATGTCCACATGTAAGCAAACCAAGAGCCAAATGTCAAAACAAGTTTGTTTAAGTTTGATGATTTGCTTCACAAGAAAGAGCAGGGAAGTTGTGCAAAATAATACCATGTTTCCCTTGGTGAGCAGGTTCATTCATTGCCAGTGACGACTATTTATACTGCATTTCTCTGGAGTGGTAACAGTCACAATACATTCCTTTTTCAAATACACACTGCTGAGGAAACACCTCCAAAACAAAACTATCCTTATCCTTTTTAGAAAATGCAATGAACCTCTGAGCAATATAAAATAAAAACAGTGGATGATGTAATATTTGGTGTTATTTTCCCTTTAGCAGTTATTTGGAGAACAAGCGCTTGCTGTTTGTGTCGCCAATGAGCACAGTTTGGATGGGAGATGAGGTCATCATTAATAGCCAGCAGTTGTGGTGTTGATGTTAACGGGACAACTGTCATAACATGCATGCTGGTGGCCAGGCGTATAATCTCATGTGCTACCAAGAAAACTGTGACTGCGCTTTGACCAGACTGCTGTGCGTAGTAGTAACATTTTTTGCTTTAAGTTCCCATCAATGTTCGATACCCTGATTTGAACGTGGTCTAAGAAAGAAACACTTTTTTTCAACTGCGTTTGCTCCCACAGAAGGAGAGAAGTCTTTGTGCTGGCTTTGTACTGGGGTACAACCCATTAAAAGCGCCACGGGTGGAAACCTCATAAGGATTTATTGGAGAACACCTATTTAGCAGGAAGTAAGACTTCACCATTGGGAGATCTTTCGCCCTTCTGACAGTGACGAGTAGTGAGTGTTCACTCAGTGGTCCAGGTAAAGCCGTGATGAAGAGTTGATTGGGTTACATCATCAACAGAGTCTTTTGTGAGTTGTGGTCCTGTGTGTTTCTGTGCATATATTACTGTAAGTGATAGTATGTGTGTGTTTAGATCTCAGTGGCAGTGATTTCCTCAAAGTGGATGTCGTTGCTGCCACTGTGAACCTCATAATCCTCCATGTCCCTGTTCTCCAGCTCCAGACTCAGCTCCCTCATCACTCGTTCAAGATCCCGGTTGCGACGGTACATTTGGATGTAGTTCTGCTGCAGCTGTTTCTGGTAGCGAATTACCTGGGTGAAGGGAAAAAAAACAGTACGTGATTAGGTAGGGAAGTTTGTGGATAGGTTTTATTGCCTATACATTCACTGCTGATGAACAAAAATGACAGATGACGAAGACTTAAAAGTAAATTCACATGGAGTGAATCTCTTTGTCCTTTTCACCTTTTCCTTCTCCTCCTGCCAGACTCTCCTCTCATCCTCAAACCGTGACAGTTGCTCCTCACTAGTCCTCCTCTCATACATGAGCTCAGCCTTGAGCCTGTCCACCTAAGCAAAAGAGAGAGAGGAAATGTTAGAAACTACAGTGTTAAAGGTACTCATTACCCAGAAATGCCCCCGTGATTGCTTTATTACTATAATATATTATTCAAATATTAATAGTGATGCATTAACACCTAAGCAGTATTTCAATGTCATTAACAGTTGAGGTGCAGCCTCAGTTTTAATCTGCAAAGCAATGAATACAAATACGAAATTAATGTAGTGGAGTAAAAAGTACAGTATAATAAGGCATAAAACGTCATAGCATAGTAAGGCAAAAAAAACTTCATAAATACATTATAGTATAGTAAGGCATAAAAAGGTCAAAACGTCATAGTATAGTAAGACATGAAATGTGAAAAAACATAATATTATAATAACGCATAAAAATGTAAAAAATGTCATGTTATACTAAGGCCTAAAACGTAAAAAAATGTCATTATATAGTAATGCATAAAAGTGTCAAAAAATGTCATAGTACAGTAAAGCATAAAAATGTCAAAAAAATTTCATAGTATAGTAAGGCATAAAACGTCAAAAAACGTAATAGTATAGTAAGGCATAAGAATGTCAAAAAACATGCAACTCCACACAGAAAGATCCAAAGACTCGATTCGAACCCCACAACCTTCTCACTGGAAGATGATAGCTCTAATTACTGTACTACAGGCCACCCCATTAAAATGCTTTAGCGTAGTGAGGCATAAAAACGTCATAGTATAGTAAGGCATAAAATGTCAAAAAACTACACAGCGAGATCCATGGACTGAGCTCAAACCAACAACCCTCTCACTTCAACGTGACAGCTCTAACCGCTGTACTACAGGCCACCCCATAAAATGCCTCAGCATAGTGATGTATAAAAACGTCAAAAAATGTCATATTATAGTAATGTATAAAATGTCAAAAAATGTCACAGTATAGTAAGACATAAAATGTCAAAAAATATACACAGAGAGATCCATGGACTGGGTTTGAACCAACGACCTTTTCACTTCAAGGTGACAGCTCTAACCACTGTACTACATGCCACCCCATAAATCAACTCAAAAACGTCAAAAAATGTCATGGTATAGTAAGGCATAAAATGTAAAAAAAAAAAAAAAAAAAAACAAAAAAAACAAAAAAAAAAAAAAAAAAATAGTAAGTAAGACATAAAAATGCGCAATAAGTCGCACTACAGGCACCCCATAAAAATGCTTCAGCGTAGTGAGACATAAAAACGTTATAGTAATAAGTAAGGCCTAAAACATCAAAAAATGTCACAGTATAGTAAGGCATAAAATGTCAAAAAACATTATACTATAGCTTTGGCCTAAAACATCAAAACACATCATAGTAAGAAATAAGAAAACGTCAAAAACACATATATAATAAGGTGTAAAAAATTTCAAAAATGTCATAGTATAAAGGCATAAAAATGTCAAAAACTACACAGCGAGATCCATGGAATGAGCTCAAACCAACAACCTTCTCACTTCAACGTGACAGCCCTAACCGCTGTCTAACAGGCCACCCCATAAAATGCCTCAGCATAGTGATGTATAAAAACGTCAAAAAATGTCATATTAAGTAATGTAAAAATGTCAAAAATGCACAGTAATAGTAAAAGCTAAAATGTCAAAAATATACACAGAGAGATCCATGGACTGGGTTTGAAACCAACGACCTTTTCACTTCAAGGTGACAGCGCTAACCAACTGTACTACATGCCACCCCATAAATCAACTCAAAAATGTCAAAAAGTGTCATGGTAATAGTAAGGCAATAAAATGTAAAAAAAAAAAAAAAAAAAAAATATAGTATAGTAAGACATAAAATGCCATAAGTCCACTACAGGCCACCCCATAAAAATGCTTCAGCGTAGTGAGACATAAAAACGTCACATAAAACATAACATCAAAAAATGTCACAGTATAGTAAGGCATAAAATGTCAAAAACGTTAATACTATACTTAGGCCTAAAACTCAAAAAACATCATAGTAAGAAATAAAAACATCAAAAACAACACCATATTAATAATAAGGTGTAAAAATTTAAAAAATGTCTAGTATAGTAAGGCCATAAAAATGTTGAAAAATGCCAAAGAGCATGCAAACTCCACAAAGAAGATCCAAAGTCTGGGTTTAACCCACAACCTTCTCACTGGAAGATGACAACTGTAA